TCAAAGCTGAAATAGATATGTTTAATCATTTTTAACAATTAAAATATTACAAACGAAATTTTATGCAACTATATTTTATTAATTTGAAATAATAAGTAATTGATTATTATAAAATATGAAGTATTAAACATTATCAAACTTTTTTAATTATAAAATAGATAAAATATTTTTATCTACTACAATTATAGTCTACTAATATTACATACTTATTAAATCAGAACCAATGTTGATTGATTTTGGTTTCATATTTTGCAATTCATGTTGAATTATACCATGAAAAGATAATACAGCTGCTCTTTTGAATAATCCTGTTATTCCATCTCCAGTTCTAGCAGAAACAGCCCAAAATTCTGCTTTCATTTTTCGCGCTACTTCGCACGCTCGTTTTTCTATTATTCTATATACTTGATTAGACTGGAAACAATTTATCTTTTTATTTTCCATCTACAGTTACAAGATAAGATAAAATAACATAAGTGTGTAACATTTTCATATAGAACGATGTTTAATAATAATACCATAGTTTAAATATCATTACTGTAAAATACATCGAGTTAATATTTTGTCTTTCTTTTGACAATTTAGTTAAACTGAATTATTATAATTTATATGATGTCCTCTATAAAAATTGGAATAAATTGAAATTATAAAATGTTTTCTTTCTGGATTTAAATAAAGTTTAATAAAATTGATTTCTTTGTTTATTTTGATTCTTGTATCAATCAATAAATTATATAATTTACCAATAAATCTCGTTTTGTGCCTACTAAAAATATATAATATGGCTCTGTGTTACTTTTAGCAGCTTCATTTAACCATTGTTGACAGTGTCCTAAAGATATCAAATTGGTCAAGTCAAAAACGACTATAATCACTAAAATTATACATAACATTTTTATTACTATATTTTAATGTTTATAATACATTTGCAATAATTGAAATCTATCATACCATTTGCAGCTCTGTAATAAGATGCAGCTATAGATTTAAATCTTTCTTGACCTGCAGTATCCCATCTATAATAAATCACAAATTTCTATCCTTTTTTTATATTTATTATATATATTTTAATTATAAAATAAGCATGTTGTATTGTTAATTTAATGAATTTTAATATTATTCATTTTTATTATTTTTATTCATTAATATTACTATATTAAATAATAAAATATGTCTAATCGAAATGAACGCACATTTGAAAGTGAAAAGGTACTCCAAGAATATCAAACCTTTCTACTTCAAAATCTACACCAATTGTTGCTTTATAGTTGTTATCAAATATTTTATGACAAAATCTGAAAAATAAATGAGATTACACCTATTTGATTCCATGAATATTTAAAATAAAATAGTCTTATAGTAACAATAAATTATGGTAAATTACATTTTCCTAACAATATATATAATATCATTATTTTTTATATTATAATTACATAAACATAATTACCGATTAACTAGACATGATTTTCCAACCGAAACGTCACCGATTACGATTGCCTTTGCCATTTTTAAAGTTAAATCTTTTCTTTCACATGAACGTCTAACAGTTGTATCAAAATCTTTTTCATTATATTCTGTTATATCGGACAAAAATGGTGGTGGCCAATTATCAATCTATAAAACAATATTATTAATCCTATATTCGAAATATAAGAAATATAATTTCGATGTATAGCATTTAGTAAATTTCAAAATTTAATTCTTTTTACTGCGTATATTTAGAAATGAAATTTTAAAAAAGTATGTATATATTATAATTTAATATATATTAATGTATATATGTAAATCGAATTTGAATTACAAATTTGTTTTTTACCGGATGTCTATTCAATTGAGATATTCAAATTGTTAACTTAGATTTAAAAATGACTATATATTGTATAAAGTTTCAAATTATTTTATTTTACTAATTAAAAACTATATTTATATCGAAATAATATTTTAAAATCTTACTTGTCTGTCATCACGTGCTACTTCTATCATCTTATAAATAGCTGAACGTGTTTCTAACATCATTTATATTATATTTTATTTTAATATATAAGTTTAGTTCTGTATTTATAATATATATATAATTATATAAAATTATTAGTTATTTAATCAAAAAGTTTATGACAAAGTTATAAAATATAAGATAATGTATATTTACACTTATTTTTTACTCTGCGTTTAAATACGGTTTTAAACAATTATTACTAGAACCAGAGAAATATTCACGTGTGATAAGTTGTATATCCAGCACTAATTAAGTAACTTTGAACTAAATGAAAACATTGGTTGCTACGACAGGTGCACATTATTTGTCTATTCTGTTCTAAATTAATTAGGTACATTACATGCTTTATATCATGCATTATAAAATAAGTACAATTTAAATGAAATAATAAAATAAAAAATCTATATACAAACAAATTTTCTTACTAAATTAAATTATATTTGAATAATTTAATTTGTGCAAGTTACAAAGTATAAGTAACTTATTATAGCAATTGAAAGTTAAAAAATTTTAAGTATTATTTTGTATTGTAACTACAAATATCGAAATTATTATTTTATAATATTGAATTTATACATATATGATTAGCGTAGTTTAACGATTTTTGATATGTCTATTTCCGGGTGAAGTTCTCTCTCTTTTTACAAAATGGCTCCTAAACCGAAACCCACGGATAAGTCAGGTACCATTCAAAAATAGTTAATAAGATTTATATTTTTTTTTTAGAAGAATCGAAAAATATTTTGTAAATTTACAACAGATGATTAATTAGAATTTATTAAATACATGGTGAAGAAAGTTTGATTAATAAACACGTGTTCAATTTTAACTTTAACCATGTGGTTTATTGCCCATTTTTCATCTGTTTAGAAAAAAAATAATAAAATGAATACATAATTATTTCATATTTCAACGTTTTTAAGATACTTGTCACGTGTTTAAGAAATCTAAAGAAAATTATTTAACAATGGTATTTTCATTCGTGATTTTTGTATATATTTACTATAACCTAGACATTATTCATGACATTACCTTTTGAGTTTAATATCATAAATATATGACTAAAGTAAATATTTTGATAATCTATTTTAATTTGTTTAGCCAGCAAACCAGCCGAAAAAAAGACAGAAAAGAAAACTGAGAAGAAGCCAGCTACTGCAGCTTCAACGTCAAAAGTTACAAAGCCAGCTGCCAAAACATCTACAACTGCAAAGAAAACAACAGTTGCTAAATCAGCAAGTTCTACAAAACCTACAACAAAACCAACAGCAAAACCTGCACCCAAAGTTGCTGCAAAACCTGTAATTACAAAACCTAAGAAAAATGTTCAACCTCCGAAGAAAACACCCAAAGGTGGAAGACCAGCTGCACCACTTCAAAAAGCACTTAAAGCACAAAAAAAGGTTAATATGTATAATTATATTAAAAAGCATTTTATTAAAATAAAATTTAGATACATTATAAATCTGTGTGATGATATATTAGGGAATCTCATTGAATAATTGTGATAAAAATTTAATTTGTTCCTGATATATTAAATTATTTAAGGAAAACAATTTTTATAATTGATCATGTAAATAACATATATGTGATATATTTATGCATAGATACTAAAAGGTGTTCATGGATCAAGAGTAAGGAAAATAAGGACATCTGTGCACTTCTATCGGCCCAAAACATTTAGGCCACCAAGGAATCCAAAATATGCAAGAAAATCTGTTCCAAACAGAAATTGGTAACTATTAAAAATTTTGTTATATTATTTTAATTTATATTTAATTTTGGATATTTTAATTTCATAAAATTATAATATATGTTAATTATATAAAGTAAATTTTATGACAAATTTCTAAAATAATTGTTCCTTTCAGCATGGATGCATTTAATATTATAAAATTTCCTTTAACTACTGAAGCTGCTATGAAAAAAATTGAAGACAACAACACATTAGTTTTTATTGTGCATACTCGTGCTAATAAGTATCACATTAAAGCCTCTATTAAAAAACTGTACTATGTTAATGTAGCTAAAGTTAACACTTTGATTAGGCCAGATGGTAAAAAGAAAGCGTATGTACGTTTAACTCGTGATTACGATGCACTTGATGTTGCCAATAAAATCGGTATAATATAAGTGTATCTATGTGTGACTGGTATGAAGGGAAAGTGTATCTGTGCTAATAAAATATATTGATACAAAAGAATTTTAATAATATATTTTTTTATAAATTTTACTTCTTTTATATGTATTCTAAAAATACAAATTTCAAAATAAGTTACAGAAATTACCATTACATTTCAACCTACATCAATTATTTTTAGTCTATCGTGATTGCCAAAATGCAGCTTCAGGTAAACAAAATTATTACTGTATATTTTGTTTAAGAAGGATATAAAAGAAAATAAAGATGTTCAAGATTTAGCAAAAATAATTGATTATATATTAAATTTTATTAAAAATTTATGGGTATATTTATGCACAAAATATTTATTATGGTTGTAAAATAAATTCCTTATTGCATCGTACGATGTCGATTGATCATTGTCGCAATATTAAAAATCAATGCCATCTTCCTGCTTTTTATCGTTAACAATAGTATATAAAAATTTGAAGTCCGTTTAAATATCCAAAATATTAAATAAAATTTATAATTATAAATAAATATGATAATAAATTAACTAACTCAAAATGAAGAATTAATCAATATTGCCACAACATCAGTGTTGCTTCTTGATGCAATAATTTACAATTATACTATTTTATCATTAAGGACTATAAATAGAATAAATAATTAACAAAAATACAGAACTATTCTTTATTATCGCGTAAAATTATTTATATGTTGTAATACCATACATTTTGATCAATATCATTGAAAATCTTAATTATACCTAATATTTCATATTTACACAATCTAAAACTATAATTTACAACCCCAATCTACCCGGAGTTTTTCGATAAGGAGCAGGTGTTCCTGGTTCTCTGATACCTGGTGTCAATATTTCCTTTCTGTAAACAAAAACCGATGAAGAATAAACATAAACAAATACTGATAAATTAATCGTACATGTTAAATAAATATAAAATATTAAATACTACAAATTTTAAGTACAGAACTTACTTTCTGATAGAAGCTTGTTCACGTTCAAGTTGTTCTTGTGCTCGAGCTTTCATTTCTTCTTCTGCTTCTTTCATCTGACCTTCCATTTCATGTAGATGTTGCATGGCTTGTCGTCTTTTTGCTCGTCCACTTCGTCCAGTTTCTTTAACGCTAAAGAACATAGGACCTAATTCTGCCAGCCAGTGCCCATCAACAGCAGTTACACACTGCATATATTCTTTGGCAGTCATCACAAGTTCATGATATACTACATAGTCTGGTGTGAATCCCATACCGAACAAAGCTGATGTTGGATGAAGATGACATGGCATTCCGGTACGACAATTCACGTATTCACCAATACCTTTTAAACGGGCTGCCTGATGGAAATACGCCGAACAAATACATTTTCGAACAATATCCCAATCGGTGCCGCAACTCACTACTTCCATCTTTTGTTGCTTCAGAATTTCTTCAAGTTGTTGTCTAACTTCTCTTACTTTCCGCATAGCTTTTGCATGAATGAAATGATCATTGCACCAAGAACTAGAATAACCATTTGCTTTCCATTGATTATACACGTTTAGATATGTTAGATGATCAGACTCTGGTACTTGGAATTTTTCTCTAGCTGAGTCAGAATCTTCTTCGCGGCCTTTTGGTCGATAAAATATTGAAGGCACTGAGAGCATAGAAACTGAAAAAATTTTAATTTGTGAAGATTTATTGGATTGAAATTAAAATTAGAACAAAATTGGAAAATATTCAGTTCGAGGTATTAGAGTTTATGACATAAATGTATAGTTTCATTAATGGTAAGAAAGTATTGATAAAAATTTATATGTTACAATTAGCTATTTAAGCTAGTTAGTATTTACATTAAATGGAAAAAAGTCTACTTAAAACTAAACCACTTAATTTCTATAACAAGAAGTTATCTCAACTGTTATTTACTTAGATTTTAAAACCTAACAAATATACGAAATTTCAAATTTTGTTTACAATAAATTAAAACATGAAGCAACATATATAAATCTGAATTCCTTATCTACCTATAATAAGTATATCTGCAGTACAACCAAGTTGAGAAGCGACTATGAGCATTTGACATTGAGGTGGATCTAATGGAAATTCTGCCATTTGTCGTCCTAAAGGTGTCAAACGTCCTGTATGATCTAATGCGCCCAGAATCCATAACTGATATAGGGAATTCAATATGTTATCTTGTGGTGGAGGATCCATAAAATGAAAGGCCAATAAATCTTGAACACCTAAAGACTTCAGTAGCAATACAGTATTTGCTAAATTAGTTCGCTGTATTTCTGGAACTCCAGTTAATAATAATTCATCTAAATACTGTCTTCGAGTGTATAGTCTATAGCAGGTTCCAGGACCAGTACGTCCTGCTCTTCCTGCCCTTTGATCAGCATTGGCTCTAGATACAGGATATACTTGTAAAGCATCCATACCAATTCGTGGGTTATAAACTTTCAACTTGCAATAACCTGAATCCACAACAAATACAATTCCGTCAACAGTCAACGAAGTTTCAGCTATATTCGTTGCTACAACACATTTCCTTAAACCACCTTCCGAACGTTGAAATATTTTAGCTTGTAAATCTGAGGGTAATTGTGAGTAAATGGGCAAAATAGAAAGTGGAGGAGCTGATTCGATTTCTGCTAAACGTTCTTTTAAAGCCTCACACGTAACTTCAATATCTTCTTGACCAGGCATGAACACCAACACATCGCCGGAACGCGGTTGTAAATGAATTTGTAATACTTGTTTCACTGCAGCATCGACATAATCTTCTACTGGATTTTTTGCATGTAGTACTTCAACTGGAAATGTGCGTCCGGGAATTTGAAATGTTGCAGCATTTCCAAAAAATGCTGAAAATTTACTAGAATCCATTGTTGCCGATGTAACGATTAATTTCAAATCATGCCGACGAGCTACGACCTATATTTTTTTAAATATAAGTGAAATAAATGATTAAAGGATTCATTATACTTAATTACATATCATAGATTAAAATTGATTTTCATTTACTTCTCTTAATAAACCAAATAGAACATCAGTTGATAAAGATCTTTCATGAGCTTCATCCATAATAATTACACTGTATCGATCTAAATCCCCTTCTCTCAAACTTTCTCTTAATAAAATACCATCAGTCATGTATTTAATAACAGTCTGTAAAAAAGGATGAGATTATTTAAAAATATTTAATTTTAATTAATATGATACTTTTTAGCAATCATATTAAAACCATAAAATCTACAAATATAATATATACATCTTTGGAAGTGCAATCTTCAAAACGAATAGCATAGCCAACTTTTTCTCCTAAAGTAGTAGCCATTTCATCAGAAACTCTCTTTGCTACAGACATAGCTGCCACTCTTCGAGGTTGTGTACATCCAATTATGCCATAGCGACTATAACCATCTTCGTGAAGATATTGCGTCAATTGTGTAGTTTTTCCACTGCCAGTTTCTCCAACAATAACAACCACACTATTTTCTCTGATTACATTTAACAATTCCTGTCGTACAGCAAATACTGGAAGACTTCGTCTCTGATGCTGAATAGACCTGTACTTAGCTTCCCCAGTAACTTCATCGCCTCGTATGTGACGTGCATACTTTTGACCAGCTTTAAAGTCAGTTTCTTGTCCTGGATCTTCTTTGTCATCTTTGTGTCTATCACGTACACCCATAATATTACCAATATGAGTTCCAGCTAGTTCCCAATGTTTCTTTTGCGCTCTTTTTCGTTCTTTTTGTTCACGATATGCTCGTACCAAAGCTGATCCTTTTCTTGCTACAAGAGCCATGTCAGAAGTAGGATCACGTACAGGAACAACCGGCTCCGGTTGTTTAGTGAATACAATTCGACCTAATCAATTACAGATTATTACTACAAAATTTGATATATTATAAATTTTGTATTATAATAATTTTTAATGATAATTTTTACAAACTTCAATAAATTATTTAAATAAATTCTTTTCTCTATTTCATAATTGAAATGAGATGTCAAATGTAATAAAAATATTTTACCATCCAGAAATGGAGGAACAACATTATGAACCAAGAGATGTACCCTAGTTTCTCCTTCATCATCAGGATCATCATCATGATCTAAAGAACTCACAACACCAGAAGTTAACATTCTATTACGTTCCCATAATTCATTATCTTTATTTATTTGTCGCTGTTGGGCAGAAAGACGTTTTTGCCTTTTAGCTTCTAGTTCCATTTCCTTTTTACGTGTATATTCCTCAGATACATCAGCAAATGCACGATTTTCTCCATCATCCAAGGCATACCACTCCCTATCCAATCTAAAAACAAATATCTAATTCTTAATAGTTGACAAAATAAAAGGCAACAACAAATAGTAGAACTAATATAACAATACCGTTGTTGTTCTTCTTCCCATAATTCTTTTTCTTCTCCATCTATGCTAGGTGTAGCACCACTAGCTTTTCGATCTCTATTCCAAGAGTTATATTTGTACGAAGGTGTAAATTCGCTTCTAATACTATCCCGACTATCTTTACTATTATAAAGATTGGGTGTTGGGTGATCCCAACTGGATTTTCTTGGTTCTTCATCTTCGTCGTCATCCCAATTACTTTTAGATGTAGAATCCTATAATGACGCAATAATAGATTTTTAGTAAATCTTGCTTTTTAAAGTTTTAATTAAAATGTATCATAAAATATTAATTATGAAAATATGTAAGATTTTTTTACACTATAAACAGGAATTTAAAAAATTAATAAAGCTATAAAAAGAAAATAAATAAAGTAAGTGTAATAAATAAAAATAATAAGTATTAAAACTTAAAATATAAAATGCTTTGTAACATTATGCAGGAAGTTAATATGTTAAGTACCTAAAAATATTTAAGAAATAATACAATATAATTTATAGTGACATGAATTTTTATAAAGTTACATTTACCTTTGTTTTAAATATTGGAGTTTGAGGTTCATCTTTAAATCTTAAAGGTGTTTGTCTATTACTATCCCTAACACTATCCCTGCTTCTACTTCTTTCTCTTTCTCTGTCTCTTTCTCTATTTCTATCTCCATCCTTATTCCTATCCCTATAATTATCCCTATCCCTATGATGCTCTTGTGCACTTAATCTTTGATATTTTAATCGCGTTTGTAATCTCTGTTGTGCTTCAGAGTTTACTCCACCAGTATGAGTTGGAGTTTCTTCAGCATAAGACCGGTATTTTCTTTCTTTAACATCTGATTTTGGTGAACTTGATTCAGATTTTGTTGAATTACTTTCTTGCGAATTTTCTTGTCTCTTTCGTTTTGCAAGTTTATCGAGACCTAACACGGATACTTGAGGTTTTTTAAACGTATGGTCAGATGGCTTCTTCCGAATAATTAAACCTGCTGCTTGATTATTATCGGTTCCTTCTAACCTATACAAATTTGAGTCATTTGATGTATCCATTTTTCACACTGAGCAACATTCGTTAATGAAAGTTTAAATAATTAATAGTCCACATAATAATATAACGATAATATAACATATGTGTTTGCAAATATAAAACAAGATATATTAAAATTATTCACATCATTGTATGAAGAACAATAAAACTATCTAATGTAATCAAACATTAAATAAATACAATTCGCGCATGTAGTGTCTATATACAATATTTGTATAGTTTGGACGTATTATGAAAGATTAAATTGAAGATAGTTGAAATGTGTTAAGAAAAGTGCAATCAACAGTAACTAGTGATAATAACCTATTAAATTCCCTAGAAATTGTTCAATTAATTTGATTTATAGAATATTTTAAATTTTCCATTGCAATATTTATTTATATGTAAACGTTACTTGATTATTGTATCTTTTAATGTAATTGATTCTTATATGTTTATAAAATTATAATATAGAATTATAGTGTAGTAGAGAAACTGAGTATTTCATCTATCAATTGTAACTAGTATCGGTTATCAACTTTTCAGAATATCCACCTTCAAATTTTTATTCTTTATAAATATGCGAGAAATAACAGTGTTATGGATAATATTTAAAGTTATTGAAAGTATAGTTTATTGAAGGTGATGCTGAGAAAGTGTAGAATGATATTGAAACCTGTCTGAGTCATCGAAAGACATAATATACATTTAAAAACTATATTTTACATGTCATTTATCTACTGATAAAATAAGTATTTTGATATATTTTGATTAACATTACCACAAATAATACAAAATAATAATGATAGAATCATCGACATGGAATTCAAGAAAAGACGAAACCATATACAAAGCGGCAGGTTCAATACATTTACGAAAATATGGGCAATTTTTTGAAAATTTAGCATACAGAACATGGAAGAAAGATTCTACGTTAGAATATTTTATGGAAGGTCCTCTTCGACTTGTATATAAACCTGTCGAAGACATCAGTTTGATAAATTTAATAGAAATGGAAAATAAGTTTTTATCAAAATTACTTGCTGCAGTTGCTGGCACTTGCAGAGAAATTAAGCTACTTAAAATAGAAGCTAAAACATTTTATAAGAAATTGTTTACTCATGGAGAGAGAGGAGCAGAGAATAATCAGAATAATATCACATCTCTTTTATCTGATTTGCAAGATCTATTTGTTTTTGTAAACAGAGTATGGACAGTGGCACATTTGACAACAGAACAATTATCTAGTCTAGCTGGTGATTCTAATGATATTTATTTACCTGTACTAATAGAACATTTTATTGGTTTGTTTATAATTGTTTTAACATTAGATGAAATTGTTGAATCTCAGCCATCATTATTAGAACAGTGGAAGAAATATAGAATGAATGTATACTCTATTGTACATAATTCATCGCACTTTGGCATAAGTGAATCTAAACTACATCCATTTACTAAATTATTGAAAGATTTACAAGAAAATTTATTAAGGAAAGTCTTATTTTCCAAAACAATTGAACATGTAATGGATGTAAATAAAGGATCAGTAATGAGCAGCCAGATTATTCATTACCTAAAAAGTTTAATGTTAGACATAGAGAATAAACCAAATGACTATGTTTCGTTGAATAAAAATTGGGTTAAAATAAATATTGGTATTGTTGTGGTAACAAAATTATTTGGTACCTGTGATAAAAAATTAATGAAAAGGGTGCTTGAAAATAATAAAAAGTTTTATGCAGTAAATTTAATTGAAAATGTTATATTGATACCAAGTAAATTTTTAAGTGATTTTTTGCCAAAAGAAGCTGGTAGTGCTGTTAGTAAACAAATTGGAGAAAAGATATTGTGTTTACAGATACAAAAACTTCCCCAGACTGTAAACAATTTAATTCATAAAGCAGTAACATGGTGCATTGAAATGCAAAATATTTTAATGAAGACAAGTCTTCAGATTTCAGATATTGAGCAAAAACAATCTTTATTGATTGATTTAATTGCTCTATTATCTCAGATTAAAGAAATTATATCTTTTATAATAAACATGCATGCAATTCTTATTAAACCAATGAATCGTAATACCGTGCAATTAATTTGTAGATTAATAGAAGTACAAAAGTCTTTACAGACTACATTTTACATGTTGGGACCAGTTATAGTGCAATCACAAAGTCAAGTATTACAATATTTGAGTTATTATATCTTAATTACATTAGAAACTGTACGGAAAAGCTTGATTCAGAAAGATAAAGGTTATAGTAAAGAAAAGTTAGATGCATTGTCATTAGTGAGTTTAAGTATGAGATTATTAAGTGGGCCAGCAAGTGCAGATAGGAGGCTAATAATTAGATGTACTCTAGCATGTGCTAGTCAATTAACAGATACTTTTAAGGAAGAAGATATGATGAAATTGAGATTTTCATTAAACAATTATGATACTATTGCTGAATTGCACAGCATTATCACAGAAGTCTGTGATTACTCTATATTACTGTACCATCAAAATATAATTCCGGCTTACTTTTCCTCTGTAATAGATAGTAATTTAAGTATAAATCACATTGTTCATTTGTTTAATGCATTTAATAGTACTATTAGTGAACAAGAAGAATTAATTCTAAAACAGAAAAAAATTATACAGTTGAAAGAAATGTTAACTAAAAATATATTAGAACCTGTTTGCCATGAGATTGAAACAAATTTACGGCTTCATGTTCATGCACATTTAAAACTTGATTCTACAAATCCATTTAATACTGGAACAAAAGATGGTGAAAACATAGTACGATCATTACCACTACCTCTAGCAAATAGTATGATATATGCTAAAAGATTTATTGAACATTATCTTGATGATATGTTTTATAATCTGACTACAGTGGCACTACATGATTGGAGAACGTATAGAATGATGCATGCTTTGGCACATTATAAATTAAATCTTGATACTGTACAAAATCATTTACCTACACAAACCTTAGAACAAGGCTTGGATGCTTTAGAAATTATGAGAAACATTCATGTATTTGTTTCAAAATATCTATATAATTTAAACAGTCAAACCTTCATTGAACATACTAGTAACAATAAGCATTTAAATACTATTGGAATTCGTCATATTGCAAATTCTATTAGAACACATGGAACTGGCATTATGAGTACAACGGTAAACTTTGTATACCAATTTCTTCGCATAAAGTTACATACATTTTCACAGTTTCTTTTTGATGAACATATAAAATCAAGATTGATGCGAGATATAAGATTTATTAAAATTCAAAGAGAAAATGGTACAACACCTTATACATATGGAAGAGCAGAAAAATTTCAAAAAGAAATCAGAAAACTGGGTATGACACCGGATGGTTTAAGTTATTTAGATCAATTTCGACAATTAATAACTCAGATTGGAAATGCACTGGGATATGTACGATTAATTAGATCTGGAGGATTACATGCTAGTTCAAATGCTATTTCATTCCTACCAAATAACAATTCATCTGTACCATTTGAATTAATGTGTAAAAATTTAAATTACAGTTCAACAACTCAAGCAGCAGCAAAGTGTTTAGAGAATGATATTGCAAATTTAGTACGGAACTTTACAGAAGGTATACAATATTTTAAACTTCTTGTTGATGTATTTGCATCTGCTTTTCGTGATACTAAATCACATCATTTGCAACAGTTTTATGCTATTGTACCTCCACTAACATTAAGTTTTGTGGATAACTTAATATCAAATAAAGAAAAAATGTTTAAGAAAAATCAAATAGGTGCAGCTTTTACTGATGATGGGTTTGCTATGGGAATTGCTTACATAAATGCTCTTTTAAACCAGTCATCAGAATTAGATAGTTTACATTGGTTTAAAACAGTTGAACAGCATATAAGTAATGAAAAGCAAGCTGCAGAAAATAAAAATGTTCATGGAGATGAAAAATTGCAACAAACATGGGCATTAACTTTAAAACGCTTAGATGACCGAAGTGCTGAATTTCAATTGCTCTATTATAGTTTATCTGGCGCTAGAGTATTCTTTAAACAGTCTGATACGTAACATTTCACAATGAGAAAAATTAAAAATTCAATAAAGTGTATTATTGAATTGTTCAATGATGTTACAATGTAATTGTTAAATACTTTGTTTCATATTTTTCATTAAAATTGTATACACAATTTCAAATTGTACAATATATAATACTATTATGTGCTTTATAAAAAGATAGCTTTAAAACACTTTATATGTTATAAATTTACTTTATTTTCATAATCCTTTTATAATTTATATTGTGTGTGTGTGTGTGTGTGTGTGTGTGTTCGCGCGTGCATATATATACATACATACTATATATAACAATAACAAGAAAATAAAAATACAAGGTAATACGTCAAATGAAATTTGATTTATTAAAGAGACACTAAAAACTATATAGTTTATCTTTATATATTAAACTTCGGTATTTTTAAATTTATTCACATACTTAGTGAACATTTTGTGTTTAATTATGCTCATTTATATATATATGTTTTCTACACCAACATTATAATTGCAATCCTTAACATTTATTATTAAATAAGTAATGGCTAGACAAACAGACTAGAATTTATTATGCTTATGGCTCTAAATAGATACAAGTTTTTTAAAACTGTACTTTTAAATATGAAAGCATTATTACTACACATAGTAATATAAAACAAAGTTTTTACATTAGCAAAAAATATTATATAAAAGTTAAACAAGGTCACAAATTTATCAATTTTTAATTTTATTTTTAATATTTATGTTAATTTTGGATAAAAACTTTTTATCACTATTAATTTCATACCTACAAATATCATTTATTATATTTTATATGTTAACAATGTTTGCCAATAACTATAAACATTTTGGTTTAAATAAATATTAGCTACAAAAAAATATTGTAAAAAACAGTTATAAATTTCTTAAATCATCATCAACGATAAATTATAAATAATAATATACACAGATAATAGAAATTACATATAATATAAAGCTTCAAAATGTCATGATAAAAAGATAATGCTTTTTTTTTTTTTATCAAAATCTAACAGATCCTTATTTTAACAGTAATGACTGTTATAAATTATTGTACTCTTATATATCTAAAGGTATTGTACTTGTTTACAGTACATTATTAAAATATGAAATATTCTATAGTTTTGTATTTTTTTTAGATAATATCTAAGGCTACTATCTATCTATTTTTTTGATCCTTTTGTGCTCTTGAATTAAAAGATTATTCAAGCAACTTAATAAGTATTGTGTTGATTAACTGCACAGAACACGAATTGATATCGCTAATTGATTTTTAATTTAAACGATTTGCATCAATAAAACTATTTCTTCCATCTAAATCTTCTTTGTAATCTTCCATTCAATTATTAATATTAAAACGGATATGCTTCCTTTTCACTTATGGACTGCATAAATTACTATAAGTATTAATTACTGAAACTGTCTTTTATGAAATAAAGGAAGTGATATAATTTCTAAGACTGAAATCTAGACGACTCCTCTGGATCCAATAAATCGTCACAAGAAGCTGTTGGAGGTAATAGCTGTCTACCTCCTCGTTTTTTGCTGCGTGTAAAAACTTTAGTAAGTTGTGCAAACTTACGTCGAGACACTGAAACATAATCGAAATAATAACAGTAAAATACATTTTAGAATTTTTTTTTATATAATTATACAATTAGGGTATTTATAATGAATCATATTTAAATTAATTTCCATAAATATCTTTAAAACTGTTGATACTGAAAAAACATTTGAGATAAAAGTTGAACAATTTCAAGAGACAAATAACTTAATATAAGTAATTTTTCCTAAATGAACACATACAAGATATATAAATGTCTACTTTGTTTTATTATATAAAATCGCATTTTTTAATGCATTAATCATTTATTATTCCCTACAAAAAGTTATTAAGCTATGTATGCCAAAAAACTGTTAGTTTTGAACAAAAACAAGCAATTAATGAATTAAAAAATATACAATTTCATATAAAAAATAAAATTGATACCCATATGTCTTTTACATATCTAAAAGAAAAATAAAAATATAAAGAAGAATATATATATTAATATATCTTTAAAACTGTTCAATTTTTAATTAAAGTATTTTACAATATTATCAACAATTTTGAAAATATTTAATAGTACTAATTTAAATGACACACCCTATATAATAAACAATTGTATAATAATTTAGTGAAGATTAAATATATAAAAATGATATGATTATAATAAATTGTAAATATACTTTTTCCCATATTCTTTAGTCTTTCTTTAAACAAATCTTCGTCATCATGACCAATTTGAGTGCCACATTTTTCAAGATTTGTTCCTTGAATTTTTGTATCTGTAAAAAAAAGTAATAAATAATCGGAATTTTGTTTATTCTAAATTTTTTATATTATAAAAATTATGATTATTACAAACCATTTTCTAAAGTTGATAAAAAATCTTCATTCCAACGTAATTCAGCCATAAATTCTTCATTTTGAAGAAACATAGCAATTCTTTCATCTTCTAACATTGAATTTTCTTGTAAATATGAAGAATCCAAGCTATCTTCAGAAACTTGTGGAAGTCGAAGGAATGTATCTGGTAATGGTCCTAACAAAGCAGGTTGCCATTTACGTGTACTTTTTGTGAACATAGTTGAATCTGCTTTTTGTGATTTAGAAGTGCTTGGGGATTTTTCACTTTGCTCTAATTCACTCCTAATTTTTTCATTTTCATTATCTGTACTCATAGTAAGTAACTGATCAATTGTTGTATCTACAGCTCCTTGATTAGATCTTAATACGGCCTAAAAGATGTAAATTAATAACAACATTTAAAAATAAGTTTTTAATATTTTTAATACTTTACAGATAAGTATAAATGCTAAGTAATAATCATTTCCTTCTAGTTGTAACAGTTGTTATAAATGTTACCATATTCCTCTTCCACAATATTATATTTCCAATATACTACTACATATAATTTATTAAATTTATTTTTGATTTTATATACAAGTACTTTTATAATTAATATAATTAAAATTATATTACATACAGTTTAATGAAAGTTCTCTCAGAATTAGTATTTTTCATTTATCATACTATGTGTTAGTTAAATAGCAAGTTCTTTCTAATATAAATGTTGATAATCAAACTTTTAATTTAAATTTTCTTTAAATCTATACAGCAGTAATTAGAAATAAAAACTAATACTTTTTATTCAGATATTTGATTATTAATCAATTCATATTGAATGTTTGTACATAAAATTCTTATACTTCTTAATGTCTTTTTATAAATTCTTTTTAATTGAAATACTTCATACAAATTTTTTATGATTTCATAAACATTCTTATGATTATACTTTAGTATAATGTAAAGAAACTAAAGAAAATAAATATATCATATTTAATTAATGTATACTAAAAATTAAGATTTTTATAGTTATATAATGTAACCTAATCCTTTTATCAAATGAGTTTACCTCAATCACATCATCATCCATTTGTGGAAACATGTTTTTGAAATCAGCCATTGCTTGATAAAATTCTAAAGTAGTTTGTTGTTGTTGTTGCTGCTGTTGTTGCTGTTCCATAGCAGAAGCCATTATATAGTTATTATAACACTGTTACTCTAAATTAAACAATTAATTGTAATTACAAAGTTCTTAATAAATTATTACAATTTTTGTAATCTAATATTACTTAATCTTACCTTGAAAATTTTACAAATTTAAACTGTTTCAAAAATATTAATAGTTAAGTTGTCATTCATAACGAATAATATCGGTTTTTGATTATTACGTTAATGTCATGTTAGTTATGTAAAAGAATTAGTTACATTTTAAAATATTCTTTCACTTAAATAAGTATATTTTTATATGTTACAATTAGTTATGCATCACAATGTTATACGAAATACTCATGCACATAATTGAAAACTAAGATCATACGTTACTATGTCATTACATGCATGTAAGTCCAACAACTGTCAAAATTCGTTGGGACCTTTCTCGGTTATGAAAAGTGAACTTATTCAGAAATTACAAAACTACAGAATGGTACCGCAATACATCTAGTGATTTTAGCATCTGTTTTTTATTGGTTTATTCTGGACAACTTACTTTTAATTTATTTTTCCATTTTATTTCGATATATGTTAAATATTAATTATTTTTAAAACAGTACATAATAAGAGATAATAATTTAAAAAACAGAAAAAATAAATATTATTTGCACAAAGAATAGTATTTCTATATAGGTTAGCTTAATTGAATCTGGACAAATGATCAAATTTTAATAACGATACATTGTTAAATTTATATTATAAAAATACACGTGAAAGCGTCTTTAGAAAGCATAGGCAAAAACTTTTAAGTTTAATCATTTTTATTGCAAACTGAAAAATCCAGGAGATCATGACAAATATATTTTTTGTTGGAAGTTCTTTGATTATCTCAAATTTTTCTCTTATATACTATTAATTATTATAAAAATATTTTGCCCTTCTTTTAATATATCTTTAATGTCGAAAGATAAATAGTTGTAATAAAACAAATGTTTCATTGTTACTTAATTTCATTAATCAAGTATATCAATATAAAATGTTTTAATATGAAAAAGATTACAAAATATTGATAAAAATAAAAGTGTATTATTTATGTATAAAATATAGAGATTATAATGAACTGCAGTTCGTTCGATATTAATAATTTAATTACGCACTTTTTATGTTGTGCACCAATAAGTGTATTTGATGTACTTGTACGTAAATTTTAGAATTAATTTGTAACTAATTTCTTAAATAGTCTTAAAAATTATACATTAATTTCAGATTTCTCAAGAAAATATTAATTGTCTTGTTAATTTAGAAAAACAGCGGGAGATTCTAGAAAACACAATAAATAATGATTTAATTCAAAAGTATCCAGTAAAACAATCTAATCAAAGAGCATTTTTAAAATGGCTCATAAATAAGGTATAAATAAATGTATATTTATAAAATGAATTTGTCATTCAAATTAGAATGTTATTTTTTCATTCAGATTGAAGAACAAAATGGGGAAGTTTATGTTAATATATATATTACATATTGTAATTTAATATCTTCTACAATAGAAGAATTACATCATTATCGACATTTTTTAATAGAAGATGATTATATTAGTATAAAAGAAAGCACAAATATTATATCAGAAGGTACAACAGGATTGTGTAGCTGGCAGGTACTTTAACAATATTACACTATTCATTATTATTATACATCATTCTCAAATTTTTCAGTTTTAATATTCACAATTTATAGGGGGCCATTGAGCTAAGTAAATGGTGTATAGAAAATAAAAACAAATTTCATGGAAAAGTTATTTTAGAACTTGGTTGTGGAGTTGGATTAACAGGATTATGCATTATTAAAAAATGTTTCCCCAATCAATATATATTTACAGATTATCACAAAATTGTACTTGAAATGGTTTCTAAAAATATTGAACTTAATTTATCATGTAGTGAAAAGAAAATACAAACAGAATTAAAACATGATAGGTTGAAATTGCAATTAAAATATAATTATACAGATATTAAAATAATGGAATTAAAATGGGAAGATATTAATAAATATATAAATGAACAATGGATTATACCTGATATAATACTTGGGGCTGATATTCTGTATGATGTTAATTCATTTCATGAATTAATATTAGGATTAAAAAAATTGTTGTCCTTCAGTGGTAGATATGCTATTATTGCAGCAACAATTCGTAATGAGGATACTATCTCACAGTTTTTATGTCAGTTAGGTATATCTTTTAATTCAGAAGATTTATATTATTTGATAAATATATATTAAAACTAAATTTCTTTTTAGGAGATTTTGATCTTTGTTTTGAAGAATGTAATGTACCACAACAAACAGTATATATACAGCTACTAAATTTACCTATTAAAATATTAAAAATTTTTCAAAAAAAATAAATTTTTATTAATAATGTTGACAATAATAACATTTTAAAATAATGTTATGAGTTTTCAAAGTTAATTTACTGAATATTTATTATCTGATAGTTTTTACTTTACACTTGTTTTATATGTTGCATTTGTAAATAAAAATAATTTGTTATAAATTTATTTAAATAATGTTTTGTCGTGAGAGAAAAATATATACAATAATGTACATAACCGCATCATGAAAATTATTTTTTACAAATTCTCTATGATAATTCACTTATCTATATTTAAATGTAAATTGTATAATAAAAAAATCATATTTCTTTTATAAATTATTCTGCTTGTTATTATTTTTCATTTTAATAATATAATAGGTACTAATATTTATTGTTACTTTATTTTTTGTATTATTATTCTCAGTTTAAAATATTTTACTCCTTTATACATATATATATTGTTTTGTAACAACTTTATAATTAATATTTTTTTATATTTTATTCTTACATCCTTGATATCTTTAATTTACAAATGCATTTTATTTTCTTAAGATAATATTATATCATTAGAAACAGTTTTCAATTAACATAAATCTAAAAATGTAAAACAATTTCCTATTAAAAAGAATATTTAAAAATATTATGGAAATATACTGATATTTTTTTAAATATTTATAGCAGTGCATATGAAATAATATCAAATTAAATAGCAAAAATAAAGTAGGTTTAAACAATGGCAGTGATTATACCGGGAGACGTTAGATTCCCAAAGAAATTATACACCTGTTAAAAGGTATAAATAGATAAAAATTTATCTTTTTTTAAGTAGAATAATACATTTAAAAATATTGATAAGAAAATTACGAGAGTTACTATATATTAATTTAGAACAATTTTTTAAATAAATAAACAACTAAAATATCTATAATATATTTATGCATAATATAATCTAGTGATTAATATAGATATTGTATAAGAAAGATAATATTTTAGTGGCAATGTTCATTGTTTCATATATACACTGCTTTAATTTTATTTAATTGTATCTAAATTAAGAATAATAATAAAATTGTATGTATTGAAAATTGTTTATATTTTTTTGAATGTGTGCTCTTTTTTTAATTCTATTTTTTTGGTCACTGTATTTTCATTATACCTTATTATAACCATATTTCAGTAATTTCACATCACCAATAAATACTGTTACAGATATAGTTTTACAGTGCAACATGCTGTTTTTAAATTGTTAAAAGCAGATGCGTTACATATTTTTATCAATGTATAAGAACATGCTTTACTTATATCAAATTATATTAATAAATTATATTTTTATTTATATTACTATATATAATATCTGTTATATGTTATTATATATACGTATGTATATAATATAAACATTTATAATAATATATAATAATATATTAAGTTGCCAGCAAACTTAAGTAAAAAATATTAAGTTCTTTAAATAAAGCAATAAATAAAACAGTTGATGCAAAAAATTGACATTATATTTTCTTTTGTTGCATTATCTCATAATTTAGTTTTAGTAAAAAGTTAGTTTTATGTTATCAAATGTCAATTGCTTTGATCGAGCCTTGAAGATTTTAAATGTAACCTTTCAATTACATGTTCAGGCATGCAATATGTTGGATTAATCTTTTTCAAAGGATAATCAGTATTTAAAAGAGTAAGCGCAGTTAAGCCAAAAAGAGTATGAAAAGGATCAGCTATATCTCCTGGACGATCACTAAATCCTCCTGACTCTGTATCCTGGCATGCCAATATAAACTTTACCTGTAAATTAATGTTGAAACAAAAATATAGTAGAAGTTATTTAACTTTGTTAATTTTTAATGAATATGTGTGATCCAATATTAATATTAGATTAGTTTGCAAAACTGTTTGACTTAAATGAGATGTCAACTTCATGCTAATTTTTTTTGTATAAATTAATTAATTAAATTTTTGTTTATTTTTATAAAAATTTACTTTTTTAAAAATATATAATATTCGTAATTTCTGATTTTAATTAATTAAAATGTAGATATTGATATATTTTTCTTAGAATAACGTTTTTGAAAATGATATCTGTAATTGTTTTTCAAAAAAAAAAAAAAAAATTAATTCTTTTTAAGAAATACATACCAACTGCTCTTTGTTAACCCAATGAAGCCGTCCTAGAATTGTAAGAGCAGAAAGAACCCACCAAGAGTAGCAAACATCTGGCATTTTTTCTGGTCTACCATTTAAACCTCCAGATGGAAGTTGTCTTTCACAAAGCCACCAACTTAATTGATCTGCATCTACTAAATGAAGATTACCTGGCAATATTTAACATTTTTATATTAACTAATTATAATAAAAAAAACTCTGTATATTTTTCTTCTATTTGATTTAATTAAGTTAATTATAGTTATTTACCCTTCATTATATTTCATATTTTTACAAAAAGATGTTAAAAATAAAAAATTACCAGTTATTGATAAAAGTCCTATGGAACAGTAAATCATACCAGCATGACTTTCAGCACCAGGTTTTGATCCAAATCCACCATCAAAATTCATACATTTCATAACAAATTCAACTGCCTTGTTAACATCTATTGCATCCAATCGATTCTAAAATAATATTTTTACAGTTTCTCATAAGTTAATTCACATTATCAATTATTATAGTTTTACCATTTTTATAGTTTTAAATATTATCTTATTCTATTATTATAAAAATTTAAATAATTTCTATACTGAAATATTCACATAATTTATTACACTAGGTATAACATTTCATATACATAAGTTCTACCCAATACGTATAGATTTCTATATATGAATAAGTTGTATTTAACAAATATAATAACTTTAACATGTATTTTTTAAATACTTCTACTTACTAAAAGAGATAAAGTTGCCACAGCGCAAAAAGAAAATCTCATATCAACTTCACCCCAGATGTCACCAGTGAAACTTCCATCTGGTTGTTGTCTTTCTTTTACATATTTTACAACTTTTTCTATATCAATAGTATCCAAAGCATTATAAATACAAAGTATTTGTACTGCGCTCAAAGTGTAAAGAATATGTGGATCATGTTGTAAACTTGCAGCTATTCCACCACTTTCTGTTTGACATTGAGCAATGAATTCGAGAACTTCGTTTCGATTTGTTTGTTCAAGTTTACCCATAAGATCTAATGCTGTTAGACCCCAATACATACCAGACATTCTCATATGCTCTGTCATGCAATACATCTAAAATATTTTAATTTCCTTTTTAATTGCATCACTTTTCTGTATGTAAATAATAATTTCAATTTAATTATATGTATACAATTAGTCCTTCCATTCAAAATACAAGAAATGGTCAAATTAATCACTTAATGGATTATGTAAAAGATATTTATTATTTATTAAACATTTTTCATTACTAAAATTAAAAAAAGCTTAAATAGGGGTTTTTATTAAATAGAAATTATTTTCCCATTGTTTTTATATTTCTTTCCTTAACTTACAATTCTAACATACTCTATATATTCACACAAAATAAATTTAATTTATTTAAGAGAAAAGACAAGACATTTACTTTGGGATATCTTAAAATTATTTAAGTTCATTAATAATCACAAATCTTTTTCCATACAGATATAATCTTTAGAATATTCTGAATATAAAAGTATAACAGTATATCAAAGTAATTAATACTTAGTGAGGTAATTAAAACTTATGGTAAGATTTATGTTTTATTTAATATGTTTTGCATGTATTTTAATAGATTAAATAATATTAGATAATATTAGATTACTTCAAATGAACACAAATGAAAAGATTTTGTTTACAGGAAATAAACTTTTGTTATTAACAATAAAAATGAAAACTAAAACAAAAATTAAACTAAGATAATATAGTCCAAGTAAATGTGTTATTTGATCATAATATAAATTTTATAAATGCTAAAAATATGAACTAAACCATCTGTTAAAGAATATGAGAAATATGTTGAATAAAATATGTATATTAATAAAAATTTATATTTTACAATTTAATTGAAAATATTATTTGATATTATCAACAAAATATTTCAACATTCATATTAAAATGAAATTTAAAAATTAATTATTCCAGATGTGAAAAAATAATTAGTTTTGCATTGTATATAACACACTTGAAACATTTATTGCATTCTAAATGATTAGTCATTATATCTACATATAATGAAAGAAAGAAGTTCACATTAATATTTAAAGTATTTTCAAAGAAACTATTATGTTATGTGCTATAATATGTTTGAACTTGTATGATTAAAGGACTTAATATAAGATAAAATAAATATTATAGTACTTACATATTCATCTTTATCAGTACCATAAGAAAGTAAAAAGTTTGCATGTTTTTCCAACAGCAATTCAGGAACTGAAGCTGGAAGTTCGATGTCATGTTTTAACATTGGCTAAAATATAAATAAAAAAACTTGATTAATAAAAATATCATATAAATATTAATAAATTAGTTTATATCCATAATTTAATATTTGTCATGAATGTTTTTAACAAAGAAGTATATAAATTAATATTTAATATCTATTTGAAATGTATGCATTTTTATTATATTGATATGGTGTATATGTGACAAGAATACCTTTTAACCTATAATAAGTAGTTTGAATTAAACTATTTTTTCACTCACCATCTTACAAAGTTATTTCATAAAAGGTAGTACCTCTATATAGACGTTTACGCCTTACTAACTTTTATTCATTTAAATGAATTTATAAAAACTTTTCACACTTCTTAGTATTCTCATAAAAATATTCATACATATACCTCATCATTTGGATACTTAACCTCAAAATTGAACAACTTTACTAGATTGACGACTTTAGTGATAAGAATACAAAGGCGCGGATTTTAAAAAAATAAAAAATTATAGCTATCATGAAATAATAATATTAAATTTGTAGTTATTTCTATTTTACTTTTAAAAGCAATTGTTTATTTCTATCTTAAAATTAGAAGCATAAAATAATTTCATTTAGAAGAGATGATATATATTTAATAATTTTTATAATTCTTGTAGAAAAACATTTATTTAACATTTTAATTGTTTTCTTTCTTTTTTCACATTCATTACATTCAGGAACTCCAATATTCTCTAAAACAGAACAAAATATTAAATTTTAACAGTAAACTAATTTATTTTATTTCTAAAACTATAATAATAAACTAATACCTATTAATTGCATTAAAATTATTTAATTTTCCACAATCATGATTTTAACAAATGTAGTAATAAAATAATTTAACAAAGTTCACTTAATTTTATATAAATAATTTAATCATAATTTTAATATTTTTCTTTTTGTTTAATTTTTTTACCTAAATTGATATTCAACTGGATATAGATTCCTCATCTTCATCATCAGAATTTGTATTTCTTCCATCTTCGTCAATCTGCTCCTCTGGATTATCTTGGTCATCTTGTACTTCATCTTCTTGATTTGATATTTCTTCCCAATTTTCATCGGATTCGCTTTCTAAATCCTCATCTTCAACTCCACCATCTTCATCTGACGAATCTATTTTTATTTATTAATATTAATTAATTTCTTTTAATAAATACATAAAAAAAATCAGATGCTATGTAAAAATTAAATATATTTACATTATACATAAAACAAAGAGTCGTTTAATTTTAATATTAATACAATATTGTTTTTTTTCAAAGTTAAATTTTTTATTATTGTCTCATATCGTAACTTTAATTAAACTTTTTCAGAGGACAGGTCATTTATGACTTATGGCTCCTTTGAGTCTTCTGATCCTTTCAATAAGTAAAATACGATGCAATAAAAAATTTGACCTTGAAAAAAACAAGCAAGCTTAATTTTGAGTTCTAATTTTTTTGGAAAATCTCCATCAATCCAAAGGTATAGAATCACTCTATGGAGATCATAACATTCCTTTTGTGATATTCTGTACTTCAAATAGCTTTACGCAAAATATATTAATTAACATTTTTCAATATTATATTTACTTAGACCAATTTTAATACATTAGTACTTTTTATGTAATATCAAAGTAGCTTTCTTTTTGACTTTTGCATGAAAGATTTCGTAAAAAAAGTATTTTAATTTGTAAGTTGTGTTTTAAAAAATATTGCTAACAAATTGATGACAAGACTCTCAAGAAAAAAAGCTATAACTTACGACAAAATAAAATGTTTGTTTTACAAACCTGAATCTTGATAAACAAGACAATCTTCGCTAATATCCTTGTCGTGTTCTTCCATTGTTTGAGAAATTTGACCAGTAACAAGAGAAACGCGGCCTTTAAGTTTTGAGAGCTCTGTTAAAAGAGTTAGTTTTGCATCTATTAAACTTAAAATTGGTCCAAATAATTCCACAAGATCTGCTTGTGACAAAAGATGTCCTGCATGTGCTGTTAATAATGCCTCCAACCATCGTACAGCAATTTTACTCCTACAATATAATAATTAAAAAAGATGTAGTTCATAAGACACTAATTAATAGGAACTAACAAGGGGAAACCTTTAAAAACCATCAACTTTAGTGAAATATTTGTAATATGTAGCAAGTTCCTTCTTTACAAGTAATACTTCATATAATAAGAGATAATTAAAACTTTTAAGTCATTTATTTTTATACAGTTTACCATAAACTTTAAATACAAATAATACTATTGTATTAAATGTAAGTATTTTAACATCAAGTTGATGAGTATGATTTATTATTAAGACAACTGGAATTCAAAATATTGAATTCCTTTGAAAAATTTTTCCTTTATAAGAGATAATTTATAAATTGTATGAAAGCTATTCTATATTATATCAATTTTATTAAAACCGACGATTCAAAGTTAAAATCTTCTTCTCGTAAACATGAGTTTAATAAATTAAGAATTAATGATAATATTATTCCAATAAATCGAATGTTATTCTAGTAGCATTTATCATAGATGCTACAACATTTTTAAACAGATACATAATTTAGAAATACTGCCACACTAAAAAGCAATATTGTTTTAGTAAAAGGTAAAGAAATGTTATGACAATATATAATTGCTTTACCAAAAAATTTAATAGGAGAGTTGAAACTTAACTATACATACTGTACATATTGAAAATGAAGAGTTGAAGACTACATTTCTTTTTTCTGAGACTTCGATTATTACTTCGTATATCAAATTTTTATACATACATAATTTTATAAGATTATAAGATGGTAAAATACAAGTAAGATTATGTTAATTTTGTAAGATCTGTATTAAACTCTTATAAATTCATGAAAGCATGTATATATGCGATTTTTGTATTTAAAAGATTAATAGTAATAAAAAAATTAATTGATATGTGAGAACCTTACGTGTAAGTTTTACCCTGAAGTAGAATAGTGAGTTCTTTCAATAATGGCCCAATTGCTTGTATTGGTAGTTTTGCAATAGTGTTCCTAATAATAGACTCATTTTTTGTGAGGAAAATATTAGTCAAAATAGTTTTGTCTTTACTGTTTAAACCTTGTATTAAAAGTTGTGCTCTGTTGCTACCTGTGCTAACAGTTTTGCCTGTAGGATTACTTTCAGCACTTAAACTTAAATTTTCTAATCTATCTTTCAATAACAATTGTGATCCAGAACTGCTTCTAATCTTTTTTTGTGTAGTTTCAATTATTCCTGCGAAAGATAAATCAAACTATAAAGAAAGACAAAAGATTGCCAATTTTTATATTGTTATGATATTGTTATATTTGAATAAACAAATTTAAACAAATCAAATAATTAGAAAAAACTGCAAATATTTTGAAATAAATGTTATTAGCTAATATTAATTTTTCTTTTTACTTCTTATTTTAAATATGACATACCACAAAATGTAAAAATGTCTTTCAATATTAAAAGTATGTACACTTATTAGTAAAAATACAAATGTAGTGAATGAAACATTATATAAGAAGAAATAAAACAAGTATGTAATTGATACATAAATTAATTTAAAAGTACTATTAACTTTTCGAATAAAAATTTGTAATTTATGCCTGTTTACAATTTTGAATTATATTTAATAGTATTAATAGTATATTTTAAATTATAATTATAATTTATTGTTAGAATAAATACTATAGTTAGATATTAGAAATAAATACCTGGTGCAAGATATTCTACGTTGCCTTCAATTATAGTAGATTTCACTTTAGAAATCTCTTCTTTTCTATCTTTATTTTTTTTATATTCTGAACGCACTAGACATTGTACTTTATCAGAAAAATCTGGAGTTACTTTCTCAAATATGGGATTAAGATATGTTCCATATGCTAATAATAATTTCTGATCTTCTGTCAATCTTGCATTTAAAATAGAAATTTGCTGGACACTATCTTTTTGGTTTATATCAGAAGCAATTGCAATATTTAAACTGGGCTTCAAAGGTTTTGACTGACCATTTGGTTGATATTGAAATAAGTGTGCTTGCCCAGATCTCGTTACTACTAATACCATTACTTGAGAATTGACTGAGATATTTGTTGAAACACTTATTGGATCATCTTGTAAAGCTAAACTTGCTACAGGAGTTCTTTCATTTCTTTGCTGAAATATTTTCGTAATTATTACAATTTTATAAATGTTTACAGATGATTCTTATAGAGACCATTAGTAGTATTATTTCTTGCAACTGACTACTTTCTAAACTATTCAGAAATAAAATAGAACAATCATACGATCATTGAACATTTATATAAAATAAAAAGATTTAAAATAAATATATATTATTTCTGTATAATAGGAAGTATGTTTAGCAGAAAATGAATAATCTGTCAATAATATTCATAAAAATAATAAAAAGTGAAAGTAAAATTTTATAATTCATGAAAAGAGATAAGAAATATACAAGGTGAGGCATTTAAATAGAAACACTTAAATATCTCCCTTATTTATGACACAATGGAAAAACTTTTAAAAACAAAATTGTTCTATATGAAAGGGAAAATATGTTAGATTTGTCTTCCTATGCTCTACAAGGATATAGAAAAAAAATTATGGGATGGCATTTAAAAAAATATTGAAGACCTCAAATTCTCGAAAAAAAAAGAAAAAAATAAAAGAAAGAAAAAAATGACCTTGAAAAGGTATCAGTATTACCCTCATATTTCTTCTTTCAAACAGTGCAGTTCTGTTCCTAAAAATTTTTCATAACATCATAAATAAGGGAAATATTTAGGTGCTTTCATTTAAATACCCCACCCTATATCTCAATAGAGAAATATCAGTTTCCGTATAACAATTTCGCAATGAAAAATGAGTATAATGAATAAAAAAGAAAAAATATACCAATGAAAAAAATACAAAATGGTAAAAGAAAAAAGAAAAGGAAATAAAATTCATCTTACTTCATCTAATGCCCAAACATTGAGATAACCATCACCACAAGCACCGCTAATAACATAATTGTTGCCAGATGTCATTTTAATAGTACAAAAACATGTCACTTGATTAGCATGACCTGTGAATGTCCTTATTAATTGCTTGGTATTTAGGTCCCACCATTTAATAACCCTTTCTCCTGATAACAAACTTTTCCCATCTATTGAAACTGCCAAAGATGTAGTTTTTCCCTTTCCTGATTTCCATTTACATTTAACACCATTTTCTTGAAGATTCCATTGAATAATATGGTGGTCACCTGCTGCAGTAAACAAACCAACATTTTCAGACCAAGTTACTGCAGTAACTGTACCAGAATGACCATCTAATTGTGCCGTAATTGAGGAAGTTGTTGTATCATAAAGTGTAACTTTTCCATTTGTCGAACCCATTGCAACAATACCCTTTTGACTGGATTCGTCTGAAATTGACTTCTTTCTGCGTTTCTTCCATGGTGAAGGCTAAAAATGATAAAACCACACATATAGACAAACTATATTTAATAATTAAACTATATATATAAAAACGAATACAATTGGAATAATGCAATGAGTACCAAAATTACTTGAATTATATTTACAAAATATTTCACTGTTATATTTAATAACTAATGTAATTACATTAATTGTATTATGTCAAATATACTATCAAAAAACTGTTTAACTTCATTTTCATACTGTTTACTAACTTGCTAAATCTGATATTATTTCATAATTCTTAGTCAATTTTTTAATTATATTGTAATTAAGAAGTAAAAATTCTATATTGATAAAAATATAATGAAAATATAATCTTAGGAAACATTTAGTATTATGTTTTAAATAAAACTACTTTGAATAAGAAAAATTTATACATTAAATAATTATAATACAAATCTAATATATATATAGTCAGTTTTATTTGACCTATATTACTATAGCTGACAGATACTACATATTTTACATCTGTACATTGATATTTAAATATAAATGATATAAAAACTTTTTAACTTATAATAATAATTAAATTAATATAAATAATTAAAGAAAATATGAATTTAAATCTTTAACTTTATATTTTTGTATGTATGAGTACAAAATATTAAAGATTAAAAACATTAAGACTAATATACTTTGAAAAAGTTGAAGTTATATATTTTTATAAAAAACAAAGTAACTAATTGTTAATGCCAATACCTTTATAACATAAACCTATATAACACTTAAACCTATGAAACAAAGACTTAAAACTGAAAATTACAATAAGTATTATAAAAAATTAGTTATTTTTCATGTTACCTAAATGTGATAATGTAAAAATAATTATTTTAATTCAAACTATATTACCATGTATAATATAAAGATTTTAGAAACGATTTATTTCACTTATAAACTAAAGTACTTAAAAAAAATATTATTTTTATATTAGACGTAACATGTTATGATAATAATAGTATTCATTGTACATTTTAATACATATTTAACAAATAAAGTAGTGTATGAAAGCTATAACCTCAAATGTAATTTTATTTAACAAACACATTCTTTAGTAAAGATAAAAAGAACATACTTATGAAACAAAACATATCTGTTTCCTCAAATAGGTTTTCAGAAATTAAGATTTAGCATTTATTTCAGTGTAAAGTTTATAGAAAATTATAAAAAGCATGGAAAACATAACCTTCACTACGATATAGTAAAGTATAATTAATTAAATATGAACATTTATAATTCATGATGTAATTTAGAAAACAGTTTAATATAGAAATTAGTTTTATTTGATTATAATACATAAAGTAACTCTGTAGCAAAATAAAAAATACTTAACATTTATTAAAATATAGAATAAAGAAGCACATGGTTTACCGATGTATTTGTTGTTTGAGAGCTGACGTAAAGCCAAGCCAAAACACAACATGGAGAAGACAGATGAAAATTAGAAACATATTCTTGTTTTAAACGACCAGTGCTAGTATCCCATATTTTTAGTTTTCCATCATTTCCACAATGAGCAAAATATTCTCCATCAGAGGAAAAAGCGTAATTAGCGGTAGTCGCCATTTTTGAACTGTTGATATTTCGAAGTGAAGTGAGTGTAGTAATTCTCTTAAGTATCTAACTTCAATTTATACTTAACACTGATGTGCTTTATAAAATGTACTTATATATTTCATCTTCCATGAGTTTATAGAAACTACGGCCGAGTTTATATGAGTTGAAATAACATTATTGAGGTTAAAATAACATAATTAAATAAAACTATTCATGCATATTTTAATTTAAAAATGTTTCATTAGGAATAAATAATTTAAATAAATTGTTTAATATGTATAATAACTACTATGGGAAAAATTTTATTCTTTTAAAAAAATTAAACATTTCTTGAATAACTATTCCGAATAAATTTTTTAATTTATGAAACGAAATATTTTCATTTATAAAAGCATAAAATAAGTAAAAATTATTTGAATTAAAAATTATGCTGTCTACAATTTGAAGATCATTTAAATTTTTTGAATGATATATTTTTATGTATTTATATATGTACATTTCTTTATGAATAAGACGTATATTTTAATGATATTCGTAACGTTTTATTCATTCATAAACTTGATAGAGGAAAACGAACTATAATCAAATTATTATAATTGAACAAAAAATCGTGAAACATATAAGTATAAATTTCTATATCAATTCAAAATATCAGTTGTAAAAAGTAAATACATAAATGTATTAGATATTAAGCACGAGAATAGTAAAAGTATAAGATTATAACAGTGACATAATTTGTTTGGTATTAATGAAAATAATATGAGAAAGTAGCTGATTTTTTTGAACATGAGTAGAAATCAAGTAAATTTTTGTTAAATTGTTAAAGTAGCATAATTTACAACAATGATGTAGTTAAACAATAGATGCATGGAACATTTTTATGTAATTATTTAGTCAATTATTTAATAGTTTAATTAATTATATAGTTATTTAACAATTTAGTTTATTGCTTTATTATTTTTCATAAACTTAATTATTTGATCGGTTATTATGAGAGTTAATAGAAAGAAATTAAAACAAATAGTAATTTATTATCTTTATGTTTCAATTTTTTTATATTATTGTTTAGTTAGTTTTGTTATTATTTAATAGTTGTTTTAATTAATAAATAATTATTTTATGGAACTTAGAATCTTGTTCTTTATGCATTATAGTATATTTGCAAAACTTAATTGTATATTAAATTTGTGATGCTAGGAAATGAGTATGTTGGGCAATTCCAGAATAACAACAAGAAGGTTGTCAATGAAGAATATAATAATAAAAAAAAGAAACAAGTAACAAATATAAGAACAAGGTAGTAACATGCAATGATTACATAATCGCATTTAAATATTGTAGAGAGATAGTTTTGTGAGCATATCTTGTCTTGTGGGTATTTACAAAAAGATGAGGAGGATTTCCACTTGTATTCAGTAACGTGGGAAAAGGTAGTTGTACTTGCCACAATGAATATACCACAAATACAATGGAATTATTTGAATTTAAAAAATAATTATAATAAAATTAAATGTTGTTGCATTATTTTTCTATTTACTTTTTGATATCTATTTAAACTGTTTCTTTTATTATAGTTAATAAATACATTCAAAATATAAGATAAGTAAAATTTTTTCTTTTAATTTAATTAGAAAATATACCTTTGATAATGTTTATGTGAATTTTGAAATGTTATTAAATATATTTTTGTTTTTACATTATACTATTACTTAATGATTTTTTTTTTTAAATTGTAACTTTTCTAATATTCAATATTAATTTAAATATCTTATTAAATGTGAATAATTAATTTTTGAATTCTATATACATGTAATCTTTTTTATTTTCTTAAGAATATATAAATGTATAAAAAGGCAAATAAAGCAGAACATATTGGAAGATAAAGAAAATAACATTTATTACAAAATTATGATATTACAGAAATAAATGCGGGAGATACAAGTGAAAAAAGGCAATAATTAATAAGTAATATTCATGTCATATTCATCCTTGTGATAAATAAGAATATCTTTGAACATCATATTAGGTCCATCATAATTAAAATCATAGAGAGGCTTGTCTAATGGAAAACCAAATGGTTTATTATCGAATTTGTAATCACCCCATACTCTGGAAGTGTATTGGTATTCCGTAGAGACTGGACTAATGTATAAGAACAATTGGAATGGCATTCCTTCCTTTTTACCCTTTGGTAGTAACAGTCTTTCTGGGAATCCAAAGATTCTTTCACCGTAAGTGAATGGTTTGCCACTGTTGAGAGAAGCCTCGAGTTTGGTGTAGAATACTTCACTGGGTTCTGGGTCAGGTATTGTAAAGTAGCAGTCTTGATTGCTACGTACAATTTTGTTTAGACCAGCATTCACTGTTGGAAATTTTTTTGAGTTTAATATCCATTATAGGAAAATATGAAAACTCATATATTTAAGCATTATTATAAATTAAAATAGTTTCATCGATCATATTTATTCTTTAAGAATGGTCAAAAGAGTATGAGAATTATTTGTTTAAGAAAGTAATGTCTCTATTTTTGTATTATCTTTTAATTTAAAAATATATAAAAATTATAAAATATTTAAAAAAATATTGAAATAAATGACAGATACTTACAATCAAGAATCCAATTGTCAATTTCATAAAAGTATTTAAGATATTCTGAAAGTTCAATTTGTTTGTGGTGTGCATCATATTTTGGTCCAAGGAAAATTTTGATAGCTGCCTTCATTGGTTTATCAGAATTGATACCAATGTGGAAATTGAATGGTTTATGATTCAAACGGTACTGTCTAATTTTAATTAATAACAAGTTTTGTTCATCAATTTGTTTATCAACTAATAAGCCATTGCTAATTGTTGCATCAAATTGACTAAAATATGTAACCAGTTTATCAACAGAAAATGATTCGACTTTCAAATTGGGATAGACAATCTCATCTTTCTTATATGGTGTCTGATGCATATTGTACCTAAAAACAAATTTTAAATAGTATTAATCAAAGTTAGCATTATCTTTTCATCATGAATTAAATGTAAAATGTTGACCAGTTCATTTTGCATAATCCATGATTATCTGAATATTACTAAATAATGTACAATTATATAGAAAAGTAACTTAATTAAAGAAAATAATTTTAGACGTATCATTAATATCATTACTGGTATAAAAGAAAATGATTTGTAACGGTTTAAGTGGCTATTTTATATTTTAGATTGAAAAAATCCGTTGTTAAAGTTTTTCATTTTTTGAAGGTTCAAAGCTTTAGAAACCTGTGTTAAAGATACATGCATACCTACATGTATATTGTGCGTCTGCTTTATAATTCCGCAGAAAACCATAAACGGATTATTTTGTGATTATATTTTTCAGATCAATATATCATTTTTAGATTTTTAGGGGAATTTAATCTTTCATAGCATATTAAATAGATTGTCTTAAGTTTCTATGTGTATGCCAAAAATATTTCTTACTATATTAACATATAAATATTTTTTTATAAATACTTTTTTTATAGTATAAAAATGTTACAAAATTGGTGTTAAATTTAGAAAATTACACTTTTAATAAAAATAACTATTGTAAGAATAAAATAAACTTTGAATTATGTATTTCTAATAATCAGACGAGCTCAATTGTGGAATTATTACTGTAATTCGAAAAAAATATTTTGGAAAAGAACACAACAGATAATAACAATTTCTTTTTTAAGTTAATTTTGTACAATTAAAATATCAAATATACAGTATGTTCAATTTAAGTATATATGTATGTTGTATATTTCGCTAATTATTAAAGATATGAACAAATTTTTAATATGGAAGTCATTTGATCCAGTTGAAACTTAATAAAATATTTGAATTTCTTATTAAACCGTTATTTATAAGAATTTAAATTTCAACGTATCTTTTTTATAGGATTATCCTTAATTTTTAATGAATTATCCTTGTGAATATCAGCAGAAAATGTTAAGATTGAGAAATATTTATTGTTCATAACGCGTAAATAATAGAATAAAATCATATCGCAAGTTTTTCGTTTGGTATGGTTATACCTCAGATCTAGAAGAATAATTCCGTTTTTAGTAATTTAGTAGTAAAGAAAAGAATTTTTAATAAGTTAATTTTAGCATATTAGAATATGAACGGGATATTAAACACATACAAACTGAAACAAAATAAACGATTTCTACACAATTAAATTCCTTTCCTTGAAATCAATTTGATTGTTCCTTTTAAATAACAAACTTTTTTTTTCTTTTCAGATCCCTTGTTAATGATGGCTATATGAGACAACATTTTCATTCGTACATTGAAAATAAAGAACGCAAGGTGCAATAAAATGTTAGAAATTTCGCGACACAAGTGCTATGGATTAAATTATTCATGATTTGGTAAAATAAACGTAATACTGTATTTATATCATAGCAAGGGGAAAAAGCTATATCTGAAATATCTGAAGGAATGTTTCACTCAACAGTTAATCACTTCGATATCTGTTGGTGGTATTATTACGTAAAATTTAATAATTAATTGCTAGTGGTCACTTTTAGGATACCCTGTGTTATGTGTAACAAATTTTGATGTTAGAATATTATATTAACTTTTTCGTTAAAAATTTCCAGAAATCGGTTTAATACAACGCGTTAACCCCTTCTAAAAATAAAAGGTATCTTTAAGTCAATATTTTGTATTACGCGTTAAATTTATTGTTTGTTTACATTATAACAGGCTAGAAATAGAAAAAATCAATAAAAATGAGTTTTACGAATACGAAAAAATCAAGTGGAATAAATAATTACCTATCGTAATAGCTATTTATTCTCTTGTAGAGGCGATAAAAGGCAGGGTCTCTCATTGAAGCAGAGAAAGTTTCCAAGGCACTGGGATAGATTTGGTACTTGGTCGATGGTTCTAGATTATAACCAAGGATTTTCCTGCCAAGAGCATCGATGCTACCATAGAAGTTACGGTTATAGGAATCGACGTTACCCTCGAGTATATTTCCAAGAATATTCAAACCGTTTTGAGTATAGATGTTGTACCACTTGCTATTATTACTCAGAACGTAACCAGAGTCAATTGCAGCCGTTATTCTCGATTCCTTCTCCGTAATATCCTTTTCAATGAAATTAAAGTGAAATCGTATAAGTGGATTTTTCGATTCATTGGTCTTAGTTTTCGAAATTCTTAAGTGATCTTGCAACGTTCATTTTATGACTCGAAATAAATTTCACATAACTAAAGTATGGTAATTGCTCGTATCAAGGATGAAATGTTGCTTATTTTATTGCAATTTAAAGATTTCACGAATAAAAGCATTCGCTACAAAATTCAATTTTTAATCAAAAAAATTTCAATTTCGCTAATAAATTTAACCCTTTGCATTCGAAGAGTGATCCTCATTCGCCATTTAATCAGATTCTAAAGATCGATCTTAATTAATATATCAAATTTGAAATTACCCAATGACGCGTGGAATGTCGAAGTAAAATAATTTTACGTCTTAATTTGTATACGATTTCTCATTTATCGTTTTAAAAATATCGTCAATTTCATGGCAGAAAGGCTTCGAATTACTATTTTTCTTTACCGAAAAAATCGTCGAGTGAAAAGGGTTAATAGCTAAACATACATTTGCCCTTGTCACGACAATGAGAAACTTTCGGTACCGGACAAATATGTTTCAAATTCTATTCTATTGAAATCACTATTTTTTAAAAATTTGACGCGATGGATAATCTTGTTAGATTTACATTTGAGCTGTTCACTGCGCACATCGATTAACTCCACTTTTTAAAAAATCTTAAATTTAAGTATCAAAGCACTTGGTATAGTCATAACATTTTATATTTATAATAACTTTCCCTGATAATTAAGATTAACACCTTTAAACGACAAAAATTTTTTGGCCACTGAATAATAAATAATTTATTTCAGAGGTCACTTTGATTAACTGCGTACTCTAATATAAATCGTTGCAATAATGCAACTCAAATGCACTAGCAAGCCATGAATGATAACGGTGAATTTTTAGTACCGTCTTATCAGAATTTAAGTAAAATTTAGTAAAATTTAAATTTATTACTTTTTTCACTTGCCAAATCGATTAACTCTTCCAGTAACATAGAAATGGTAACATTACTAACGATTACCTTTTGGCTATTTTTTCTTATAAATTTTATATACCGTTAGATGAAAGTTACATTTGTATTTATGCATTGTACAATATTTATTCCGATTTAAATTATAAAGGGAATTTTAAAAAACAATATACATTATTTCATTGCATTTCTCTACTTTTTGTTTTATGGAGTTAATCAATTTATGCAGTGAACGGCTCATTTAGTGGTGCAAAATCACTTGGAGGCACTTGAAACTTTTAATAGATGTAAAGCAAAATCTCAATGTCTTTTGACACTTACCTTAATGTATTTGTATTTGTAAACAGGGAAGTTACTCCAGTCTGGCCTTTGAGGGAATGGCAACCCGTTTTGATAAATCATGCTAGGATAGTAACCGGCGTAGAATGGTTTCTGCCAATCGAAGTCCTCGAGTGCAGGTAAGTCGTTGGAAAGTCTTTCCAAGTTGTATCTGTTCAGTAATAATTTGTGTCCATATAGGTATTCCAATCCGCGGGTGTCTGGTAAATTAAATTCCTTGGAATCCATCCAGAATGGGTATGATAAACGGAAGAAAAAGTAGTAAGTATTCAAGCCGATATCTTCAACGAAATAATTGAGTTTATTTTCCAAATTGTACTCGCGATTCAGATACCAGCCGGAATAGTTTGCTGGGATTACGTATCCTTTGTATCCTGCAAGTGCCTGCTTCTCTGGAATAAAATGGTTTCAACTCGGGTCAGCTGTATGTTACAGAAGTGTTGTTAATGGAGTATATTAGGCTGAATAGAAATTATTATTACTAGACATTATTATTATTATTTTCCAGATCGATTTCGCCAAAAACAAAGAAACAGTTATTAAGTATTTTAGATATTAGATTATATTTTCGTGCAGACGTTTCTTCGTGGTTTATTCTATTATAAACAAAATTTCGAATAACTATTTTAGATATATTATTTTCGAAATCTTTTATTTTCGAAGTGAATTAGATAAATAAATCACATTAATAAATAAACTGAGCTTCTTCATGTTATGCGAATTAATTGATGTAACGTCTGTTCTAATTCCATTTAATTTTAATTATATTTTAAATTTTTGATATATTTCAATCTCAATTTATTTGTCATTTGTTTAGAGTAAGTAATGTAAAACAATGTTTAACACAATAGTGATATTTAAAAATGTGCAATTCATTTTATTATTTTTTTTTTTGAAGCTTCACAAAAGTTATGCAAATCGAAATCGTAGCCAGTTGTTTATTTTATATACACTAGGCATTCTGTCTTATGCAGCTAGTTCATAATTCGCAACATTTGTCATAAAAGGAAGTTGAATTAATGCTTTGTAATGAAAAGTTTTCAAGTTTAATTATTTAATAAAAAAATTAATAAAAGCAGAAATTGAAAAAGTTTGAAAATCGTTGAATAATGATAAAGGTTAAAAATGGAAAAAAAGATAAGCCGTTCGGAAGATTATTTATAAAAAATATAATTGCGATAAGACATATTAAACAACAAAATAATAAATCTATCATTAGAATAGTTCATATGAGAAAATAGTGTAATTTTCTCTTAATAAACAAATTTCAGTTGAAAAAGCAAATGAAAATTACTAATTCCTTATTGAAGTAAATGTTCAATAAACATTTATATATTATAAATATCTATTTATATGCTATAAATGACATTTTTATATTTCTTAAATCATCATTTATTTATTGGACTAAGGATTTAATCCTGTGTAGACCGTTTAAAAGTCTGCTGTATATGTATATATAGGTACGTAACAATAAAATTGTATATTTTATGTCAGTCTAGTAGTTTCTAAGAAAATAATTATAAGCTGATTTAAGCAAATTTTTATAATTTTAAAAACTTCAAGTTAGGAGCACGTTTTCATCGTGCCTAATTATAAAAAAGACATAGAAATCCAAAAATCGAATTTTTAAGTCCTCTAGATTAAGGTGCGAAATTATGAAAATCGCAGGATTTTTCTGGAACATTTGATAATATTAAAAATAAAGAAACATAAAATACAGTTACCTGGTGTACCAAACATTGACACGTGGTGGACTTTTTCTAGGACTTCAGAGTTGAAGAATAAGTTGGGGTACATTTCGTACGGAGGTGGCAGTTGGATGAATTTTGTGTCTGGTCTTCTTATTACCGCATTATAAAGGGCCATAAAGTATTGGGCCTCGTTCATATTGTTTTTCGCCCAAAGAGCCGTTTTGTAGAAAGTATCGAAATCGTTTGCATAATAGAACAGCTTAAACAGAGCTTCCAGTTCCTTAACGAGTTTTGGATAGTAAACCGAAAATAATTCTCCTCGCGGAAGCATTCCATTTTTGTACATGTAAAGGAATTCCTTTACTGCACCCTAAAAATTCGTTATAAATATTCTCGTTATTTTATTATCAGAATTATTATCATAATTATTAATATTTATTATCATAATTGCTTAGGATGGCGGCTTATGTATTAAAGTTTAGACTGTGGATGTAAATTCTTCATCGCTATTTTTTAGGAATGTCAATTATTTTGCTTTTGATTTTAATCATTTGCGGGATAAGCTTTAAAATTTAATAACCGTTTAACGCTAAGTTTACCACAGCTTAAATAACCAATTCTTAAATCTTTGATGAAAAATTCTGCGTTCCACGTTATTGTTTTTGTTACCAGACCTTTTTTATAATGTGCCTGTGTCCAATTTTTCAATATACAATATTTGCACTTTAAATTCAGCTTTTTGCAGATCCAATTTATCTTTTGCACTGATTAAATTCATCCTTTTGCAAATCAAGTATTTATAACTAAATATTTTATTTAAAAAAGTATGAAATATAAATTGGCTAATAAGGAATGAAAAATTTCATTAAAAGAATGTATATGAGATTTTATTAGATATTTATTTAACAGTAATTACCAATTTATTAAAGTACTTATATAAAATACTTTATATGTATTGCATATTTTGTAATTGCAGTAATTATGTGTATATATAGATAAAGTTATTTGTACATGCATAGCCTAGACTATAATGGTTCCCGTGCAGCTGCTGCTGGTAACTTCGCATATATATTCTTATAATAGTTCTAACAATTTGTGGGTAACAGTTACTACTGAGTTATTGATTGAATCTACCAAATTTTCACTATTTGAAGGATTTGCTAACATATTTCTTGCACAAAATTTTGCTTTGGAAAATACTTCTTCGATGGGATTCATCATCGGAGAATATGGTAGTAGAAAATGTAGAGTGTGCCTTCTCTGACCAACAACGTCACGGATTTCCTGCGTCTCTTGGACACTTGCGTTATTCAAAATCAGCCAAACTTTATCCATATTATTGTTCTCCAATTTCTGAAGTAATCTTCTGAGAAAGTCGCAGAAAATACTTGCGGTGTCATACTATTTGCTGAACATTAATTGCCACAATTAGGGGAAAGTTTCGTTCTCTCGCAGTTGGCACGGTCACACGAGTCAACGTGTTAACCCTTTGCACTCGGCGATTTTTTCGTTAGAGAAAAATAGTAATAAGAAAACCTTCTACCATAAAGTCGACGATATTTTTAAAATGGCAAATAAGAAATCGTATGTAAATTAAGACGTAAAATTATTTTGCTTCGATATTCCACGCATCATTGGGTAATTGTAAACTTGATAGATTAATTAACATCGATCTGTAGAATCTGATTAAATGGCGACTGAGAGGCGCCTCTCGAGTGCAAAGGGTTAATTTTCGATTGTGCTCTTGTTCGTTGAAGATGATAATTAAACCCGGATTCATCGATAAATATTAGTTTTTGCCTGTTGCAGCAGCTGCCGCAAGGGAACCATTATAGTGCAGACTGCGCATGTGCAAATTTATCTCTATATGAGTCGTTCATTGCACAAATCGATTAACTCCACTTTTTGAAAAATCTTAAATGTAACAAATTATGACTATACCAAGTGCTTTGACACTTAAATTTAAGATTTTTCAAAAAGTGGAGTTAATCGATTTGTGCAGTGAACGGCTCATATACGTGGGATTGGAATAAGTACGGCCTTGAAAGAATGTCAAGTGTGTTTGGGTTTAGAATGAAAGTGATCTTGTGCAAGAGGATCGATTGCAAGGAATATTTATGGTAGAGTCGAATGAAAGTTTAAGGATGCGTCCAGTGTGGCTGAAGTACTTGGCCCATCGAGGTTGCGTAGGAAAGGGGCATGATTGGAAAGGAAAGCCTGATTATGGAAAAGGACAGGATGATTGCTTTAAATAAGGGTGCAAGGGCGCGGGCAGCTTCAGTCCTTTACAGTCTCCAATAGTCTTTAGGAAGTTGCTAATAGTGTGTCAGGATGTAAGAAGTCAAAGTCGAACGTGCCCATAGCGAATCCCTCTTGTTTTATAATCGTCAATTTACGTATAAGCTTATTTTATTCCATTAAGAAGTGAAACAACACTATTTTAGCCAATCCACCCAACGCGATCCCACATATATATATAATATACACAATGTAATTACTGCTAAATAAATATCTAATACATCACGTACATCCTTCCAATAAAATTTTTCCTTTTTTACTGGCTAATTTATATTTTATATTTTTTTTTAAATCAAATATTTATGTATAAGTATTTGATTTGCAGAAGGATGAATTTAATCTATAGAAGGGTGAATTTAAAGTGCAAAAACTGTATATCATTCTTCCTACTTTATGTCTGATTATTTGACTGATTTAATTACAGGGGATCGACGCATCATATAATTGGAACAATTAATTGTAATATGCTGGCTCGTATCTGGACAATGTATGAGCTAATGACAAAACATAGATAAAGAAACGTAGACATAGTTGGATTTAAGGATGTAGTACACTCTTAAATTATTATATTAGGTGGTACTCATGATTGATGTCGAAATCATACTATCGATGTACAATATGATACTCAGGATCATTTGCAGTTTGTAACTAAAACTTTCTTTGTCTGATAAGTTTTATCATTTTTGAATATAATATCATTATAGAATGTATGATTATATGATTATTCGAATGTATGATATTTAAAATTGAATATATTTAACAATAATGCATTAATTGATACTTAAAATAGCAAGTGATTTAAATAAAAATCTCATTATATGTTAACAAAAAATGTAAGAGTGAATTAAAATTGAATATATAAATTTTCAATCAGCCAATTTTTAACTAATTGCTATTGACTACCATTCGTTTATAAATTTGAAAATATTTTACCAATTTATTAATAATATTTTTACAGAGAGTTAGAAAATAAACAGTTAATCTTCTTCTCGTATGATTATGTCTTTCAATGAAAAATTATTATTAGCGAATGAAATTATTTATTTATTTATTTATTTTCATTTAAGTACATCATATTGCAATAAAGATTTGTTTTAATTTTTATCACTGAAGGTGCAATTTTTATGATATTGTTAATATTTTGAACTTTGCTATAAAATTGTATTTTTTAGCGAGTAATCCATGAATACATGATCCATGATTTTTCAATTTAAATTTAAATGGGATAAATCATATTTTTCACTTAAATTTAAATTAAAAGGAAATCATGAATGTAAAATGTCAATCATGTAGTAAATACATACATACGTTACAGTTACACCATCTTTTTAAATAAACGTATATATTGCTTTGTACATAGATGAAATCATCTGTTACTTTAAGAGGAAAAGAATTTTTAGAAGAGGTGATTAAAAGATGGTTAGTTTTGAACAAATATCTGCATTAAATGAGATATTTAAATATTTTCTCATTTCATTTCAAGCCATATGTTACTTTATTTTTATACTTTTTACAAATATAAGGAAATTTGATGTATGTGATAAATGGATGTGCATAAAGAAAGTTTTATTGTATGCAGAAAATATTGTACAAGTTCATAATTTTATACATCATTATAAGAATAAAAGAAAACAAGCAGTATATAACTATATTATATTACAAAAACAAATGTATTTATATACATTCTTCTTTAACCGTGTACAGAAAATAAATATGACTTGTATTAGTTACATAAATTACCCTGTTTATAAAAGAAAAATTGATAAGTCAGCATATTCCAAAAATTTGGCAGCTACAATGGAAGAATTGGTTATGAAAATCATTAATTTTTTTATTGCTAATTTGTCAACTTTGTTAAAAGTCGTCAAGTGATTTATTATTAAGAAAGGTTGCTTATTCTTGCTCATTATAACACATTTTGTAGACAAACAAATTCTAATTTTTCTACACCTTTATATGTGTTTTAATTTCAACTATCTGCGAAAGTTGATATTTTTGCTTAAAACAGACGATGTTATTCAAGAATCTTCTAAATGGTTGAAAGTTTATAAAAAAATGTTTAATCAATAAAATTTATAATTTTATTTGGAGATTTCTACAAATCACGGATAGTTAAAATATATACATAGTTATTATTGTGATTTAATCCTCGATTTATTGCTAAAAAAATAGTTGCTGCTGAAAATTTAATCAGTAAATATATTTTATGACAAATTACATTTTAATAATTGGACACTGTACAAATAATCAAATTCAGTAATTTACAATTAGGATAACTGTCATAAATTTTTTGTATTAATCAACAACTTATTTAGATTTTTATAAAATTTTTTGACAAAGAAAAATTCAATATAAGATGGTAGATGAACCTGTAGAATATTTTAAAACAATATTTAAAAATAAGGAAGTAAATATATTTTATAACAAATTACATTTTAATAATTGGACACTGTAAAAATAGTCAAATTCAGTAATTTACAATTAGGATAACTGTCATAAATTTTTTGTATTAATCAACAACTTATTTAGATTTTTATAAAATTTTTTGACAAAGAAAAATTCAATATAAGATGGTAGGTGAACCTGTAGAATATTTTAAAACAAAATTTAAAAATAAGGAAGTAAATGAACTATTAGACCGATAAAAGTATCCATAAATAATAAATAATATTTTATATTCTTTTATTGTATATATTGTGATGTATATATGTTATATGTGTATATATATGTGTATATGTATGTGGGTACATATGTATATATCTGTATTATGAAAGCTAAAATTATTCAAGTTTTTCATATAACATATAATATTTTTTATTGTTATTGTAACTGGCGGTATTGTCAGTTTTATAAATGTAACAATTTATTTAATTTAGACATTTTAATCTTAGAACTATCAGATGAATAAAAATTACATAATTTCAAACATCGTTGATCATGACACCTTAGCAAACGAGACATTGAATGTTTGGAATTAGACAAAGATGTCAACTTGCTTATTTGTGTTGCAATTTTTATTTCAATATCAATTAACGAACTATTGAATCAATATTAATTTAATTTGAAGAATTATAAATCCGGTACTGTCACTCGTGATAATGCTAGTTAGAGGTATTTACCATTGGTACATAAGGAGTTGGTCACCAATGAAAAAATTGACTCTCGTTTTACAAAATAAGAAAAGGAAAAAAAAATGTAATAAATTTTTCGATCAATTTAATACCTAAATATCTTATACTGATCAATTTTAATTTAGATTCGAGCAAATTATATCAAATATTGAATTACTGACATTTTCTTTTTACGAAAAATAATGTCTCTAATACGCTTTTAAAACATTTAGTGCTCTCAAAACATTAATTGTTAAAATAAATACCGAATTTGTGAATATTCCAGAAAATATTTTAAAACGGTGTCTTTAAAATATTTGACTGATATTACTAACCGGGTTGGAGTACAAATTGATGTTGGCCTCGAGGTCCCATTCTTGACCCTCATTATACCACGAAATGTTCGTTAGGGATGGTTGACGGATATGATATAGAAGATTGTAGACCCTCTTTTGTTTTATCAGGAAGTCCTTGTCAGCGGTTCTCGTAAAATATTCTGCACTGACCAAACTGCAGGCCAACAGCCCTAGCAGCCACAACCGTGACAGTAGAAACATATTTTTGAAAGTTCAAAACCACAGAATCCCAGAGCGCAGATGCTCCGCGTGCAGCTACTCTTATACTCTGTTATCCCCTCCCCCAGTACTTCCTTATTGTACGGTTCAGTATTTTCAGTCCCATATTTCCTTAAATCTATGATTCAAACTTAGATTTCTATTTAATAAAGAAAAGACTCTGTCTCAGTCCGTCGTAGAAACAATATGGAGTTATTAATCTTCGTGTACATAGTAATCTTCAACCTGTTAATCTTTAAGTATTAAGTAAAAAGCTAACCTTTCTGAACTTCTATTTTTTGACTGTCGTATTTGATAAGGAAAGATAATATTTTTGTTTATTTTTTTTCTTATTCCTTTCCTTTTTTTATTACTATTTATTCACGGATAATTATTATTTATTAATAATTAACAAAATTTGATTGAATTTTTAAAATTCGAGTTGTTTGTATTTGGTTAGAGAAAAATACATTGTAGTTTTATATAATGGTGGATAAGTCTCAGTTCCCATGGAATGTTATTTACATTAAAATTTATTTTATCGAACCTTTATAATTCAATTTATGTCCTAGTATTTAAAAGAACTAATCTATTACTGTTTAAAAGACTTTTGTTACTGTTTAACATATCGTGTTGTTAATTTTGAGGTAACACAGATCTATTTGCAGATTGTGAATATTCTGTTAAGGAAATAATTGTAGTTTATTATAATAATAATTTTAATAATAATTTTAATAATAGTTTAATTAATATAATAATTTATTATAATAGAATAATTGGTCGGTAAGGTTAGAATGAAATAGATATGTGATCGCTAAAAATTTGTTTTCAATCGAACTTTATACTATACCTAACTTCAACTTCATGACATTGAATTAAATATTTTAATTGACTTCAGAGAAGTACAAAAAGAAATAATCATGAGATAATATTGCTGTAAATAAATAAAATAAATATTCAAATGACATAACCTATAAAATAAGTAGCAGGTTATTACACGATTCTGTGACTTCTAGATACGAAGTGAAGTAATGATTATTTTGTTTACAACAAGCTAAGATTACATCATAAAGTAGTATAATAATAATTAATTGTTTAAAATAATTTTTCTTAACTTTAGATTATATAATTTTTCTTAATTTTAGATTATAAAAACTTAACCATAAAATGAACCTAAAATTACTTGTGTTTATTGAACATGGTAAAACATACATGATTTATAATAGAGAAATTCTAAAATTAAATTTATCTGAGATTGTAATTGCGATGAAAAATTTCAAAAAATAAATACAAAATAAACTAGTTTAAAAAAGACTTTGCTTTAGAGGTTATGTATAGAAACAAATCGTTAAATATCAAGAATGAATTTGTATAACAATTTACAAATGTGGAGGAAACCTAATACCAAAATATATGCCTGTAATTTGTAATCCACAATAAAATATGCAGATTGTTGATTTGGGGATATGTAGATACATTTGTATTCGTATTTATTCTATCGTGATCATTAATTATAGACATCATAGACAAAAATTTGTATTTAAATGTATTAAAAGAAAATCATTGAAGAAGCATAGAAAATTAAATCTTCTAAGAAATTTTTATTTTTAGCTTGTTCGTGACCCTAAATATACTGCGTATATTGTTTATCAATAGTTTGTTTATAATACCGCCCATAGTTTGCAAACACCACAAAGTTCAATTGGGTGAAATGATCGGAGAAAGCAATCAGGAAATACAGAATATTGAAATTGAGTTAACAAATTTTTGTTAAACACGTCTGATAGACATTGAATTTAAATTTTATCAAAAAAGATTTATAAGAGAAAGTGAGTAGTAATACGATTAACGAAATGTTAATATTCTATTTATTATACAGATATTATTATTCAATACCTTTATTTTTCTATAAAATACTTTCGATTTTTATTTCTGTATTTTCTTATTTATGCCATTCTTTGTTATGTCACAAATTAGAATATATGGAATATAAATAGTTCAAAAAATTAACATTTAATATAGTTTCTTTTATAATTTATAATAACTGTAAAAATTGTTCTATAGTAGTTTTATAAAGTTTAAGTTTTTTCGCTAAAGTTTTTTATGCTCTGTAGTTAAAATTAATTCAGTAGCAAAAATCACGATTTAAGAATTAAGCGTTTCGATGGAAAGTATCAGTCGTATTTTAAACGTTTTACTATAAGACGATTTTCCTTATCAATATCTTTTGTATATAAACGCAAGAAAATAAAAATTGAGTAAATAACCAGATATCGGTGTACAGACGAAATCTGTTTGACCCTTTAACCTTGAGGTAGGTGATGCCGGATGTTCCGTTTTCTTCATGACGTGAAACGACTGTATGAAAAACAGATTAAAAGAGTTATTATTATTTAGTTTCCATTTTACAATAATATCATACAAATCTATGTAGTTTCTGGTTATTTTATTTTATTCCATATTTTATTCTATTGTTATTATAATTTTTGTTAAAATATTTGGAAGTTTCTAAATTACTAAAAAAAGGACAAGAGGACATTTAATATAGCTCCATCTTTATTTAAATGAAAAATATTTTATTTAATTGAAATTATTTAATAGTTATTTAATAATTATTATTTAATAGCTTCTATTAAATTTTTCACATCTCCGGTTTTATTTTGACGTACATTAGCTTCTGAATGAAATTGTTTTTGTGAAATAAGATAATAAAAATAATTCTGGCTTTTAGTAGAGATATTTTGTGACCAATGTAAGTTTATGACTTGATTACTTGTGTATATTTTTCAGACTCTATAAATGTATATAAAGCACAAATATATCTTTATAGAAGATATTTGCTCGTTTTTTGTTAGTCAAGATTGCAAAACTCGTTTTACAGAGGATTATGTACTTGCCTGTAATTGAAAAAATAAATGATATTAAAAAGTAATTGTTATTCATGAAATATGCTAACATTTTTTAAGATTTTAGATTATTAAAAATTTATATTTCGATTTTTCTGGAATGACAAGTTTATTATTAATAGTATAATCTATAATTGTATTTTTTTCAGTAAAAGCACTAGGAAACTCAGTAAATAACATTATACTACAGTTATTTTTCAAGATTATTTAATCAATCATCTGTAGATACAACAAATATTTTATGTACATGTGATATTTTCTAATAAATTACACGATGTTTAAAATATATCATATATTTATCATATACTATGTTATATAAAAATTTATTAATAATTAAAACTATCAATGAAATTGTTAAGAATAATTAATAATTAATAAAAAATTAGCAATATTGGCGGGAAGTTGGTATTGCTGGCTGGCTTGTATTCTTGTTTCATAATGGTATCATGAGCAGGGTTGGTTGAAGGATAAATAAAAAGATTATTATGAGTTTGAAACTTGTGATAGGCAAAGAAGAAAGTTGGAGGAGGATCATCCCGAATCGGACTGATCAAAGCAGCTAGCACTGGAAACGTAGCTTGGTCGGAAGAAGAATCCTAAAAATTGAAAAGTCGGATTAAGTTTGTCTTCATAGTTGACAGTGTACGAATATTGTACAGGAATGACAATTTTTGACCTTGTACTTTCAATATTTGGTCACCTGTTTTGATAGATACTTGCAGACCTTGAGTTATGGTTAAAGCTTCTTTCTGTTTCTTTAGTTTTTGACGTTCATTATCGTCCATCTCTACAAATCACGAAGAAATGGGTGTTGAAATAATGTATTTCCTTCCTATTATAATGTACCTTTTACCTATCTATATAATTGAAGTTATAAATATATATAAACGTATATTTATATTTCAAATTTGAATACTAAAATATTTAATGTTTATGTATGCGTATATATATTGTTATATATCTTGGACTATATGTTTATAGAATATTTAATTTATTGTAAGAGTTTATTTTCAAAAGGACTTGGTATAATTGGATTAATGTCACGGATTATTATAAAATTGACAAAAATGTACTAGAAATTACTAATTGTGGAAAAATCATGAATCAACAAACATTCAGGTTGTTCTCTGTAGTCTCTTTATATCCTGATCGCTTCTTCTTTAGTCAGGATGACTTTTCCATGTTGTGGGCTTCATCACATCCGTAATGCTATCAGCATGTCAGCAGAACGCATCCTGGACTTTTCCAACCTGTCAAGTGGCCATCACAAATCCAAGCATGAGTACTTACATGTTCCAATCTATAAATTTATTCTAACCTTTTTAATACTTGAGAAATATGTAGGAAGAACACAATAATATTTTTGCCAATTTTGTAATTTTTACGTTTTTTGGTGATTAAAAAGGAGCGTTTTAATATGGCATATTTGAAAATTAAAATAATATATGTTATGTTTAAGGATATAAGGCTTTAAAAAGTGATTGATAATTTTATAAAGTTTTATGTAATAAATGATCATTTAGATAAAATTAACATTTTTTACATGTTTAATAAATTATTAGAAATATCTGTTTAATGATAAAATCAAATAAAAAAGTAAATTCATTTAATAGGAATGGAAATTACTTTGCTTTGATTCAGTTCAATTGTTATTATATTATTAGTTGTATAATTACCATAGGTTATCTGATAGTTATCTGATAATAATTTTAATTATAATTATTATATTAATTATAATTTAATGAAAATCAAAAAAAGTAGATATAAGTTATTACCATTTAATTATTGTTACTTTATTTTTACTAGTATTTCAGTTTCATATTACATCGAACTGATTTTTTATTTCAAATTTTTTTCAGTAATTTATTAAGATATATTACAAATTAAAAATTCTCATATGTTTTATTTTTGAAATAATATTTCTTTGTATGATTATGGATATTTTACTTATTATTATTATTATTTTATAAATAATAGGTATTTTTGTAAAAATAAGCTTTTCATAGAAAGCTCTATAGTATATACCGCGGATATGCGGTAAAAATGTGCTTAAAAGTCATATTCTCATACACTTATACAATTTTCAATCTTACTTCGTTTGTCTGTTATTGTATCTCTGAGACATTTATTTGTAACAATTATCAATTATTGTTCCTTAGATCAGGATGAAAAATTATAATCAGTTGTAATGTCTTTTTATATATAAATTAAAATTCAGTTATGCACAAAAACATGCATTTGAACGTTAATGTAGTTTGAAAGCAGAGTCAACGTCTGCGCAGACGCGTGACCATGCGCGCGCAGTTCAGTTTCAGCGTAAATCATATAATTACAAGAGGCGCGTTCACAGAAAAAATTTAATATATAGGATTGGCTTTATCTCCATATTGGTTCATAGCTGTTTATATGTACTTTCTCATAATCTCTTTTCATTAGACATGTATGATATACAAATATATAAAAACACTTTATCATTGGTTGATTACTATTATCTCGCGAAACACTTGCTCTCATTTGAGGCCGTAACTTACTTTCTCTTATTAGCCTGGGTAGTTCGTTAATAATTCACGAAGATATTATTGTCTCGGCTATAATTCGATGTGATTTATGTCGGAAATGAAGTATTCTTGTCTGCACAGCTGCTGTTTTGTCGTATGAAAGAACACTCAATAGTTCGATAATTTGGTACATAGTATGGCTATTTATTTGCTGTTGGATGTCTTGAGAATTTTGTTAATAACTCTGCATACTCTAGAGTTAGAGAGTTAGAGAGTTAATAACTTTCGTTGTTACGTCTATAAAATCATCTTAACGCGTCAAGATTTCAAAATTAATTTTTGTTTTTAAAAAAATATGAAAACATAGAATACAGTAATTTAGTGTTTTAGGAATTCTAGAGATATTTGTATATGTAGAAATAAGAGTCTTTGTTATGTTTGGAAATATATTTTATTTTTGTTAAATGAGTTTACTAATAATACTTTAAATCTTCTCATATCTCAATTGATGTAATGTGTTTATGTTTAGAATGTTTACTGCATTTAAATTAATCGCAATGATAATTTTTGTCTGTTATCCAGTCTTTTATATGATAAGTCTTTTTTTAATCTTTGACTTTTGGATAGAGAAATGGTCTACTATAATACGTAAACATTGATTTTATATAACAATTTTATATTAATGAATAATATTATTTAAGAATTATTATTAATAACATTAATTTATGGTAATAATATTATTATTTTAAATATTTTTATAAATATATTATATAATATAATATATTAATAAATATATTATAATATTTTTATAAACAATAATTAACATTTTTATCGTATCTATAGGCAAATAATAATTATTTTTTTAGATATTATTAAAATTTTAGCTATATTTTTATTTTATATTTTAAATGCATTTTAATTGCGTAATTTTTTGAAATATATTTTTATTTTTTCATTGGAACTTTTTTAATAGCATATCTAAGTTTTAAATTATATGTGGCAAATCAATGGTTTTTGTTTCCTTTTTTTAAACAATTAAACGTTTCTTGAATAAGAATATTTATCTTTTTAATATCTTTTTAATAGCATATCTAACTTTCAAATTACATGTGGCTGTCAATGGTTTTTGTTTTCTTTTTCTTAACAATTAAACGTTTCTTGAACAAAATATATTTATCTTTTTAATATCTTTTCCATTTCATTCATTCATTTTCCGTCGATTTCATTATATTTAGTATTGCAAAGTATTATTATTAACTAAATGTTATAAAACAAAGATAGATTGAAAGTTCATGAAATTTTCTAAAAAATAAACATAACGCTCGAATTGACATGAAATTTAGTGTTAGTAAAGAAGCAAATTATCAATATTTACAATGTTTTAATCTATTTGTATTTAACTTTGTTAGGTAATATAAGAAAAATATTAATTCTTGGAATTTCTTTTATCAAACCCAGGTATAAATTTCTGTAAAAATCTTCAACTTTCAAAAATGAAAGATTCAAGATGTTCAATATATTTGATAAAAAAGTATTGTGTCCATTAGTTTGAAATACATATTGCATATTACATGGCACAATTTTATAATATGAATCAATATTTGCAAAATAACTGTGCAAAATTCGAATCACATCAATTTAGCAATTTTTACAATATTTCTCATATATTTTTGAAAATATTTAAAAAAGAAAAAAATATTTTGAGAAACAACAGAATTTTTATACAAGCAGTTATACTACAGTTATACTACAGTATATTAGGAAAGCAGACATGTATTGAAACAGGATATCCATTTTTTCATATTGAAATTTTTTAAGCCGACTTATATAATTTTTTCTCTGAACTTTCACTTTCGGTAAATATGCAGTTTAGTGGCTATGCCCTAAACGTGTCTTTTTTTCGGTTTTTTCACAAAAGGCTCTATTTGTGCCTCAATAAGAAACATAGATCGGGGGAGCTTGAAAAAGTAATGTGCTTTTACTAGTTTTCTTGACAAAAAACATAAAATTGTTAAAAACTACAGATCCCTATGATTTTTGAACATGTTATAGAGGACGAGATTCTGAACCATAATTGTCGCTTGGCCTTAATTTCCGAGATATTTGCAAAAATTGTTCACACTACTACATTGACTCCGCCTGTGTGTGCCGTGGACGTGTCAGATCGGTTTCAAAGGATCGCTTATCGTTTCCTTCTATAAACAAACCCTGGCCAGCGACAGAAACAGGACTGGCAGGTGAGCGTATATAACGGATGGACAAAAAGATTAAATTTAATTAATTTCAATAATATGTCAATCTAGATTTTTTTCACATGTTATGTATTTACAACGGTGTTATCTATTTATTGTTCTCATCTTTGTCTATGATTTTTATACTATTCAAATTCTAAACTATTAATATTATATTAATTATAAAATAAAGGTATTGATAGTGAAGATAAACTGTTAAAATTAATAATAAATATTGTTTACGTCTAATAATTATACGTTATTTTATGTTATTGTAAATATAGTAAGGGATTTTAAAAGATATGAGTAAAATGTGCAGCAAAATATGATACATAGCATGAATTCTGTTAATAAATGAACTTAATGTACTCCTAATGCAACCCGTTGATAACACGATAATTCCTTCAATAAGATAGACAAGGGTAAAAATTCAAGCGGCATCTATCCAAAAAATCGATCAGCGACATCTATGATTTCGTACTGGAAGCTCAGGAAAGATAACAGGAGCATAGGATGGTCGTGGAGGTGAACGAATACCTCTTCGTGACGTCATAGACGAGGACAGAAAGCGGCTAGAACAGGATAGCGAAGATTCGGCAGTAAACAATTGACAAATTACCAAATTTTTGTAATTAATTAATGAACTTTTATAGCCTGAGCTTCCACTCGAAAATCATAGATGGCGTTGATCGAATTTCGCTCGAATTTTTATCCTTGTCGGATGTTTATAATTTGAACAGTCTAGGGTTCAACATATCTTAACCATTCTTTTAACTCGTGATTATTGAACTAGTTGTTCGATATTAATTTGGCGAACAACATTGACAAAGCGTAGCGTGGTGGATTTACGCCCCGCCAGAATTCAGCGAAGAATTCAAACGCGACTCGACGTTTGACGAACAGCGTAAGAAAAGCACGAAACATCAAGATTATAATTTTCGTATCATTTTATTTTGTCTTTTCCTACATTTCTTTCTTTCTCGTCTATTCTTCAAAGGAATCTACATTGGAGAAATAATTTAAGTAGAACTTGTCTCGTTCGTGACCGAGTCGTATGAAGGTAGTGAATAAGTGTTCAGCTCTTCTGCGTTCCTGTGATGAATAAAGACATTCTTCATGTACATGTTGGACAGGGTATTAACGAGCAAAGGATTGATAGGCCTGTCCAGAGGGAAGCCCATGGCTCGCCCGTCGTTGACCAGTTGACCCCACACGGGAGAGTCGATTTGGACGGTGTTCGTTTCAGTGACTGGCGAGATAGTAACGAACAGATTGTAGACCATACCCTCTTTCGTACCTCTTGGCAGCAGAAGCCTTTCAGGGAAGCCATAAGGCTTCGTAGAGTACGTGAAGCTGTGTGGATTCTTTATGCTGCTCAAAATCTTCTTGTAGAACACGTCGCTGCTAATTTCGTCAGGAACGACGAAGACGGACTCGTGGCTGTTCCTTTCGATTTCGTTGCTTCCAGTTACCACTGTAATATGGCAATCAAACAATTAAACCTAAATCTTTATGTTCATCTCGATGATAAAGGAGCGAATATTGGGGACTACTTATATCTGGTATTCGCCATTATGTAAATAAATTACGTAACATCATCAGATAGCAAAGCTTAATGTTTTCTACCTCTGTCGTTTAGTATCATAATTTTAAATAGAAATTCTTCATTTTTTAAAGACTCGATACTCGACATTTCTATTGTAACAGTTAACCCTTTGCACTCGACGACTTTTTGGCTAAAGAAGAATAGGAGTTTAAAGATTTTCTGTTACAAAGCTGGCGATGTTTTTCTGAGCAGTGAATAAGAAGTCGTATGATAATTAACACGTAGAATTATTTGATTTCGATATCTCGCACGGTGTTACATTATCTGAAATGTGATATATTAATGAATATCGAGCTTCGAAATTTTACCAGATGGCGATTGAAGGGTGCCTCTCGAGTGCAGAGGGTTAATAATAGCTGTATGAATGCAAGTAATAAATAAATCGAAATAATGCAAGTAAATATTGTAAAGTAAGACAGTTCAAATTTTAATATTAAAACAGTGTATATTTAATATTATATCTAATATTAAAAAAGTTTAATATTAGATATAAAAGCAATTAAGTTGAACTTTGGCTTTTGTATCCCTGTACTTTACTTTTTCTTTACTTTTATACTATTCGTCTAAATATTTCTCTTTTTGTGTGATTTATATAATTAGATCGAAGGCGTGTTATGATAAAAAGCAATGAAAGCTATACGTACAGTCAACTATAAATTCGTCCATTTGCAAGAAGTTCTTGTAGTTATGCACGAGGTCAAGTTCGTGTCCAAATTCATCGTATTTCGGTCCCAGGAAGATACGGACCATTCCCTTGGTGTTTCTGTTACTGTTCACGGTGATGTGATAGGTGAATCGCTTATGGTTCAAACGGTATTGACGAGTCCTGATAAGGAGATTCTTAGCTTCTCTGTGGCTGCGAATGGATAATCCGTTGTTCAGCATGGATTCGAAGTGGTCGAAGAAAGTGACGAGTTCATCTACGTTCACGGTTTCGATGGTCACACCAGTAAAGCTTAAGTCTTCTGTTGTGTATCTTGGGACATTTTCCTTGTATCTAAAAGACAGAAGTTGTTAGGAATCTTGCCTTATGATATTCTTCATATTAGGACCAAGATAAGTTAAGGATTGGTCGAACCTAGGACTGGTCGAAATTTGAATAAAATTCAATAAAATTCCAGTTATGAAATTTTATTAAATATTTTTGTAAACTATACCGATATTTGAGTTCTTCCTATATCAAATTTACTGTACACGTATAAGTATGTACTCGATTTCTGAAATTTGACTAATGAAAAGAGTATGCAAAGTTTCTTCTGATATTACTCGCCGTGCGAATACTTTTTATACTTATTGTAGCGAGAATCTGGGATACGTAAAATTCTATCGTTACTTTTTCTTGTCTCGTAAAATCTAATAATCTATCGATTCGGAGAAATTTGACTTTAAATTTAAGAGTTAGAAGTATTGCAATTTTGATATTGCACCATCGAATGTAAGCTAACTTTTTCTAAACATTATCTATTTAATTTTGACGACATCTTTTTTAACATAAACATAAAATATATCTCGGAGAAGGAGAGAAGGATGTTAAAAAAGGCCATTTTTGGCATCGCCGGCAAATGAAAAATTCCTTCAGGACGTTTAAAAGCATCTCTCGAGGAACCAAAAATTCCAGAGAAATGATGGGAGAGTTGTCAAAGATAAGAGTCGAAATATGTGAAAATGGGACTGATCGAACATACTCGAGCATCATATAATATTTCATCGTCTTCCTCTTCGGTACTGAGTCAGTAATTAATTATATGGACGGTTATATTGCAAATATTTAGGAACTATATCGCGCATCTAAAAATAATGCATCATTTCTAAATGAACCGTTGTTAGAAGCCGATACGTGAAATCAGTTTGAAGCATATAACGTTTTCCTCGTGGATCGTGGTTTTTGAGACCCTCTGGAGGAAGTCACAAGAAGCGAATTCATTGCTAAAATGTCATCATTTGCGGATGGACTTCGAAAACCATTGACAGCTCAACAAGCCAATCAATCACGACTCGTTACAAAAAATTAGTTTATGGTCAAAGTAATTAATGAACGCATAAAAAGCTGTTTTATAAATGTATCCAAAATATTACATTGCCCACCTTATTCCATGACTTCAGAATAGCTTGTGCCATTCTAAATGCAATGTTTCATCCGATTCATACATCTGCTCTTGACCACCTAATTATAGACAGGATTTTGCGATATTCGAATCAGATTAATTCTTTGGGACAACTGGTATATGTAGAAAACATGAACACAAGGCGAGCAGATTTCCAACGTGTAGAAATCGTACAATTAGAATCTTACCAACGTTAAGTTTCGAAGATCTATGCTTATATGAAGCGGAGATTTTGATTTCCAAATTGCAACATCATACCGCATAGATTATCAAAAAATTGCAACACCGTCGTACCGCATGGATTATCAAAAATACCAAGTCAACGTAGAACCAAATAACGGCATTTTACTGAAAACGAAACTGCGTTCACGGCATTTAAATACTTTAAAATATGTTGTATACGTATTAATAGATGAAAGTGAAGTCGGACTAGAAGTCGTTCTTGCACACACATGTGAATGTAAAGTTGGGGAACGCGTTGTTGGGTGTTGTTTCCATGTAGCAATGCTTATATGGTATTTCGGCTTTGCTCGATTCAAATCTTCGATTCATTTGCCGGCTGAGATCCCCGCTCATTATTTCCAAGATAGTTCAGTATCCGAAGAGAAAGATAACGAAACATGACGCTTGAGGGTTTTCGGTTAATCTCATTTTCACATTTTTCGATTCATTTTTGTCAACTTTCCCATCATTTATCGGCAAAGTGATAAAGGAATTTTGTGTTCCTTGGAAGATGTTCTTAAAAGTCCTGAAGGAATTTTTTATTTTCAGACGATGCCAAAAATGGCGTTTTATTCTCCTTTTATTCTGGACGTTCTGTTGTACCATATGAACTGATAGACAACAGAATTCTTAAAGAAATTCTTATTTAAAATTTTTTTAAACATCATTTAAAGATTGTTTTCGAAATTTTTAATTTTCATAAAAGTTTCACGCTCAGAAAAAACGAGAAAGTTATTTACAACAATAAGTTCCACAAAAGTTTGAAATTGAGTAAAAAATGCCGAGCTTATAGGATATTTTTGTACATATTGGAGGGAATTAAAAATTTAACGGGAAAATAAAATGACAAAAAAGATATTTAAAAAGTGGACATAATAAATTAAAGATTGAGGTTGTAATGAAAATAATAAATTTCAATTAATTAAAAAAAAAAAAAAAAAATCAATGAACTATAATAGCAATTGAGAATATTTTTATACACGTAAGAAAATTGACCGATTTGATTAAATTTAATGAAACTAAATTATTAAAAATTGAAATCAAAAATCGAATTAAATTATATAGAAAATTAGGTCAGAAAATAAAATAAGATTACATGGAAATTCTGTTGGAAAATTGAATTGAATTAGATTATACGAAAACTAAATTGAGAAATGAACTCTTTCACGAATAAACACAGCCTTAAAAGATGACTTTCCATTTAACTCACTAGCGCCACCACGGCTCATATTTACAATAAACGTTTATCGTAAATATCGTATATATCGTTAAATTGTATTCTAATTTTATAGATATAATCTTCGAATTTTTGTCTTAATTATGTGCGTCTTGTTGTTTATTCAATATTGTTTCCACAAGTTTCACGGTCGCAGTTATGAAAGGGTTAAATTGAAAAATTAAATTTCACGTTATTTAGTAAAATAACATAAAAAAATGGAAATAAGATGAAAAAAGTACAAACCTGTGGTAGTAATCAAGGATATTTTGGTACATGCTGTAGAATATAGGGTCCCTCAAGCTGGTACTATAGTACTCGAGAGCAGATGGAACGACTTGGTATCTGACGTTTGATTCATAGCCAAATCCACAGACTTTCCTTACGAGCCAGTCCAATCTTCCGTATAGTTGTCGGTTCAGGCTGTCAGCGTTACCTTGGACGAGGTTACCAAGCATGTTCAAACCGTCGTTAGTGTAGACTTTAATACGATTGCCATGTGTGTCTAAGAAGTATCCAACGTCGATGGCGGATAAGATTCTACTGTGTAAATCCTTGATCATCTACGATTTGTTTAAAGAAACTATTAATTAATAAATAATTTTGCTGATTTGACGCATAATTAACGAACAACTTTTAGCCTTTTATCTTAGTTTAATACCAAGTTTTTAATTTCACGTTTGGTTTTAATTAATAAATAATTTAAATCTCTCACAAACTTGAAAAGTTAATCTAAAAATTGGGAGTAAATTTAGAAAATTTTTCAGAATAAGAACAGCATCTGAGAAAATTGCTTTCGTTTTTTATTCTATTTGAATTAATTTTTTTTCTCTTACACCTGATGTCTTATTTTTTATTGTTCCACAATTAAATTTTTTAAACTGAAATTAAAACTACATTTTGAATTATTTGAGTAATTAGAAAAATTCTTTTAGAGAATTTAATAAAATAACAATTAATATTGAAACATCTACGAATTACGAAGAAATGAAAATTTAGTTATAATTAAATTACGTTGGTTTCGTTGTATGTTCTTAACAAAATCTTAATTTTTAAAATAATATTGAACACCGAGAAATGTAAAATTGCACGATGTAACTCTAATTTTAAAAGCATCTATGCCACATCCTATTATATTCGAACATAAAGTTCTACTATTAAAAAATTTATTTTGCATATATTTTTCAATGTTTATTATTTTATTGTATTTGTATTCTATTATATTTCATATTTTGTTATATTATTTTACTAATTCAATTTCCATTCATGCGTAACACTGTTGCTTAAAATTACAGAGAGACACTTACTTGGACATGTTTTTGCATATGCAGTGGCACAGTAGTACCGGTTACTCTCTGAGGGAACGAAAGTCCGTTATGGAAGTGCATGGTGGGATAATATCCAGTCACTACGGGGCTGTTTAGGTTCACGCGATCAACCTCACCCAGGCCATTGCTAAGTCTCTCAAGGTAGTATCTACAAAATAAATTTTAATTTGTACTTTTTAGAAATTTTGCTAATCGTATTAACGGATATAGAATAATCCTATCATTTACTTTATGTCCATTATAATATATTTCTGACATATTTATATTCAATGAAAGAAAAAATTCTTTATATTAAACTCTATACGGAAATTATTAACCCTTTGCACTCCGTTGTCGCCGCTGCGGCGACATTAAGTAAGCTAATACAATTAAGTCTCTTATAATAACGGTGTTTTCATAACCCGATTTCCATATAACACGAAGCGAAAATTGCGACAGTTCTCCTATAACACGGTCTCCTCATAACGCGTTTTTCGTACAAGAACATTCCAACAACTCAAATGGTTTGAAAAATGAAGTTATAGAAGAACTATTTCGAGGAGGGAATTTAAATGAAGAGAAATTGGTGGAATTAATTGACGAGTCTACCTCAAATGCATTTGGAAGAAAACATGGATAACGAATTCGTTTCAATCTTCAGTTATCTAAAGCAGTTATTTGAAATTTAAAAAAGAATTTCAAAATTGCTTGGCTCCATATAAAGAGGTTTTGGAAGAACTACAAAATAAAACTACATTTGAAAATTTGCAAAGTGAGGAGGATTTTTGGTCAATTAGAAAAAAAGGGTTAGACTGTAAATATCTGATAGTGATGATGAATAATAAAACAATCTAATTGTGGTATCCTCAATATATAAACCACATGATAAGAATGTCTGAATTCTGATAAGACTGAAGCGGTTTCATAAGAGAGTTTTAGAATAAATCATTTGATTCAGAAATAAATATAAATAAGAAGAAATATGGAATAACATTGATGGATAAGAGAACTTATGATAGAAAAGATTTGAATAAAGGCTTTGATAGGCGCCTAAAAGATAATTATATAAAACAAAGTAATAAACCGTTTAATTTTAACATGTTAGAATCTTATTTTAAATTAGGATGCGTCACTAATATGTATCAAATTAAGTTTTTTTGTTGGAAACAATTTTTTTAGTTTATAATTTTATTATATGAACTATGTATTATATTCGATAAACCTAAATTCAAATATGCAAAAATCTACATATTCATTGCCATTTCTATTATAAAATTTTATTTATTAACCGTATCAATCGCAACTCGATACTTTGAGAATGCAGTTTTTATATAGGTCTGATTTACGTACAATTTATTCATTTCTGAGTTTCCATATAACGCGGTACGAATTCGTTTGATTTGTATTATTTCTGAGTTTCTTATAGCGCGGTTTCTATATAACGCGACAGTGGTTTGCATATAACGCGGTGTTAATTAATCTGATTTGTCTTATTACTATAGTTCCGATAACGCAGTTTCCATAGAACGCATTTACTGATTTCAATTAACTCTAATTTTCTTGTAACACGGTTTCCATATAACGCGGGTCGAATTAATTGCGTCGTAGGAGACTTGACTATAGCTCCTTTGTCGTTTTTCTAGATGTCCACAGCGGTGACATCTAGAAACTCAACTGTATTTTTAAAAATGTAAATTAAATATTTTTTAGTTTTTCATAGTTGACTCTTTTGTTACATTGTATAAGTAATTTCGTATTTCAAAATTGCTGGGAGTGCAAAGGGCTAAAATTAATATTAGCAACAAAATGCGGTAAATTAAATATTCATCAAACCAGTAAAGATAGTTGATAAGAAGTATCTTTTCGATAATTACTATGAGAGAAGTATTTTTTAATATTATAAATTCGATTATCTGTTATCTTAAAAGGGACTACTTTTTATACTTACAAAAATGAAATTACTTTTCTTTATAAAATTATGTTTCTAGAATTGCATGATTTTCAATTACATGCAAAAAATATTTTACGTTTATACGTATGAAATTGTAATCTATTCCTTTAAACACTATTCCTAGAACACTATTCCTTTAATCGAACGAATGTACATTTTCTTTTACATTCGAATGATTACGCAAATCGATTTTTGTAAAAAAACTATTCTTCGAAATTTATAACGATGGAATTGTTTGTCATCAAAAAAAATTTGCATGTTATCCAAAAGAAAAAAAAAAAAAAGAAAAAAATACCATAAGATAAAACACGTAAAAATTGACTTTCTGGTTTTTACTAAATTTGATCTAACATTCGTAAAATAGTATACCTGGTCAACAGCTGCTTATGGATGAAGAAGTAGTATTCACCACGGATTTGAGGAGTATGAACCGTGTTAGCTGTCATGAAAGTTGGGAAGTCATGATTGATCAAGAAGTAGAAATAGCTCAGTCCAACGTCTTCGGTGAAATAATTTAATCTTTGCTCAGGTACATCTTTCCTGGTCAAGTACCATCCGGAATAGTTACTTGGGAGCGTGTAATAGTCAACTCCGCTCATAGTCTTCTTTGTGCCAATTGCTTAAATTTAAATAAAATCTTTACGTAAATAATTTTCTCGTTAATATTTATTTATTTTGAATCGATTAATTCGTTAACGTCAATGACTATCCCTTTACTACTTATTTCCTTCATAAGAATATCGTTAATCAATTTATATTATACAATTATCGTTGCCTAAGTTATTTTTTAAATTATATAGCAAAATTTTACTTTTTGGATGTATATATAATATAATTGTAATCGTTATAATCTGTCGAATTTAATATTTTACAAGAAAGTTTATCAACTATAATATTTAAATGTAAATTCAAGTCTAAAGTTACGAATCATCAATTTCAAATGTTATAACTTCGATCGATTATACTTCATACTCAAATATCGTCAACATAGTTAAGAATTTAGTTGTGAAGATATTAAGACAATTTTTGGAAGATTCTCATGTTTAAAAGGACTACTATTTAGTTAAATTACTAACTATCTAAACTTCATTAATCTCTCAAGTCTTCCACGAAAAAGGAGTACCAATCATTTAAAACAATTAATTAATAATTTTAATTAATAGTGAACTATTAATTTTAACTATTAACAAACTAACAAATATTTTACTTAAAATCAATTAGCTTGAGTTAAAAACCTCGAAGATATCAAGGCTATATAGAAAATGGGCTGCTTGAAGTATCAATGCCCCAACACTAAGTTAATCAGAAAAAATTAATCTAATTACTAAATATAGTTTACCAATTTTCACATTTAAATATATATCTATACCACCTTCGTCTAATATACATGAGTAATAAAATAGTAATAATTAAAGTGGTACGATGAAGTTAAATTGGTATATATATGTGGGATTGGAATAAGTACGGCCCTGAAAGAATGTCAAGCGTGTCTGGGCTTAGAATGAAAGTGACCATGTGCGAGAGGATCGATTGCAAGGAATATTTATGGTAGAGTCGAATGAAAGTTTAAGGATACGTCCAGAGTGGCTGAAGTACTTGGCCCATCGAGGTTGCGTAGGAAAGGGGCATGATTGGAAAGGAAAGCCTGATTATGGAAAAGGACAGGATGATTGCTTTAAATAAGGGTGCAAGGGCGCGGGCAGCTTCAGTCCTTTACAGTCTCCAATAATGAGTCTTTAGAAAGTTGCTAATAGTGTGTCAGTATGTAAGAAGTCAAAGTCGAATGTGCCCATAGCGAATCCCTCTTGTTTCATAGCCGTCAATCTACGCATAAGCTTATTGTATTTTATTAAGAAGTAAAGCAACCCTACTTTAGCCCATCCACCCAACGCGATCCTACACATATTTACCGATAACAATAGTAATTTTGTTTAGTACGATAGTTTTAGCGTTAGTAAGAGTTCATTCGACTAGTATAGTGGTTCTGGGGATAACAAAAGATAGTGGTTCTGGGGGTAACCAAAGAACAGTTCTCTAACTGACCTGTGTTACCCATAGCGATGTGGTAAGCCTTTTGCATGACATCCTCGTTGAAGTACAAGTGTGGTAGCACCTCGTACAATGGCGGCAGCTTCATGAATTTAGTGTCTGGACGTTGGATAACAGCCACGCTCAACGCGTACAAGTACATTTGTTCGTTCAGATAGAATCTAGCCCAGACAGCGGTGTCGTAGAACACATTGAAGGTCTTGGCGCTGAACAGAACACGGAAGAGGACCATGGCCTGGTGTTCCATGTCAGGGTTCATGACCGTGAATACATTGCCACGTGGAAGCATTCCATGTTTCAACAGTTGCACGAACTCGGACACCGCTTCCTATTATTTCATTATTATTTTAGTTAACGAGAAAATGAAAAAAACAGAAGAAAAGTTAAGGATAAAAAGTTTTCTAAAATTTGTTTAAAATGTTTTTAGGGTAATTTGGTTTAATTGAGAATGGGATTTCAAAAATTTGAAATAAATTGTCTTCGAATTCTCGAATCTTTAAATTTTCTTGGATTTCGTTGGCTACTACAATTTAGATGTGCGATGATATTTCAAGGTTTGGATGCTTTGAAGAGCTTATCCATAAATAAGGAGTTCTTTGGAGGAAGAACCTATTTGCCAAAATTGTGCTTTTGGATATTCAAATATAAAGCTTCTTTTTGTTTGTAAAACCGTGATATAAATAGAAGGCGTGTACAATCGATATTGCATAAACTTCATTTTTAATATAATATTAGTATATAATAATTGATATGATAAGACTATGATAAGTAATAGAAATAGCAGAAAAAGATAGAAAATATAAAGATAGAATTAATTAATTGAAAAGGAGGCTAATCTTAAGAAATGCTCTTTTTCCAAAGTACTCCTTAAATAATTGTTATGTATAGCATGTACATAGAAAGTAAATGCGAAATATTCTAAAATTAAAAAGCCTCTACATAGACTCAAAATACAAAATAAAATTACATTATTAAACTATTATTTTGTGCAGAAGCCAATTAATTGTTCTTGATTCTTCGAGATTCTTTGAGATCTCTCAGAATAGTTTGTAAAATTCGGTGAAATTACCAAACAAACATTTTGTCTTATTATATTATTATGATTCATTTGTAGTATTTATATTTTATATAATATTCCATATAATATTTAATCTCCTATACCCTGTATAGAATACTATAGAATACTATATTATAGTAATGGTATATAAACTGTACTACAGTATATTCTATATAGAATACTATAATATATAGTATATAGTATAATATAGTATAGTGTCGTATGGTATATATACCATTACTATAAAGTATTCTATAGTATTCTGTATAGAGTATGGGAAATAAAATATTATATGGAATGCTATATGTGCCTTTTCGTATTCTATGTAATATTATTATACACGAAATAATTTATAACGTTTTGTCAATAAAATAAACACAGTATTACAAGGAAAGCTCAATAATAATAATGAAACTATATTTCTAGAATATTAATACTTAAGAGGAATAAAAGTAATAAAAATTCAATTTGAAAATTTATTTCGGAAAATATCGTATTTATTTCGGAGAATATCTTATAATTTATAGAATTCTTCTAATCCATATGTAGCCTCGTTGATGGTTTAACGAAATAACTAAATCTACGATACGTTGACATACCTGGTCATTGTAGTTGTTGACATTGTCATCGATGCTGAAGGTGCGTGCCTTCTGGTAGAGATCTGAATGGAAAACGGTCGGCTGATCGACATGCCAGAAGAGTTCATAGATGTTCTTCTGTCTGGTGAGGAAAGTGTCGTCGGCAACTTTCCTAGTCTGTTCGGTAACTGCCTGAGCCAGCAAGCAGAAACTGGCGAAAACGAGGATAGTTGGCTTCATGATCTCGATAATCGTGGAACCGTAGTTGGAGTCGGCCGGGCCAATTATCAGTTTATATACTGGACACGAAATGCTTGGACTTCGATAAACAGGTCGATAATGTGTATCAGGGTCGATTTAATGTGTAAGGTCGCGAGGGTGGTGAAAGTGAACGGAGCTTATCTGTCTTCGTAACGCAATTGTTGATAAAGAAAGCATAGGGTGCAATTAGGTAATTCGATCAGCATATCGATGTACTTTCGTAATTCAATTAAAAATGTAGATCGTTATAGCGTTTAAAGGTTATTTTGAAATATGTATCATGATACAGTTACGCCTTCTTCGTTTCTTTTGGTTTTATAGGTAGAAATTATAAATTTTCCAGGAAATTTCGACTGGGCAAGGTAACAGGGTCTAATTTTTCGTAAATCATTTCTTTGAAGCGATATTATTTTAAATAACAAATTAATGTACGTTGTAATTTGACCTTGGAATGTTATAAGTAATAGTGATTAATATTGATGACAATATTATTATTAATAGATAATAATATTTAATAATAATAATGAATAATACAATTAATTATATAATTATTTATATTATAATAATTAGTTATAACAATATAATATAATTGTAAATTAATGATATAATATTACTAACAATAATAATATTAAAAATAATATTAATGATTACTATCATAAATACATGCTACTGAAATATAACATGTACAATATTTAAATGTAAATTTCAAAATAATAATTGCGATTGATATTTGGCAAATAACGTATTTAAATTTCAACATTTCATATTTCAGCTCTGTTAATTTACATTAGAAATAATAAAAATTATTTATTCATATCATAAATATTTCTTTCAACCAAAAGGAATTTACGATAGATAATGAATAAAATAAATAACTAAGTAACTAGATTTACAGTGATTAGAAAATATGTGTATATATCATAAAAATAACTCGTAAATAACTAAATGACTAGGTAAATAAATAACCAGAGTTTTAAAAATTTTGTTCAATTAATTAAATCATATTTTAACGAATTATATATAATTTTGATAAAAGCAGCAATAATTGCATATTAGTTTTTAAATATTATCATTAAACATTACGATAAAAAATATGTATACTATATTTGGATACTACAAACGGATATGAGATTTGTTATCGAGTCTCAAATTGAAAGTAGTAGATTTTTTTGTCAATTTGCTTGTAAATAATTTCGCAAATACTTTCGCGAAATTTATTACATAAAAAATGATATAAAAGGATCATGCTTTAAATGAAATAACATTACGAAAATTCTATCAATTATTGTAAATAATTATTTCAAGCCACTGTCATTTATGGAATTTGCACACTTTCAAAATTTTGTTATTATTTAAATAAGCGAATAAAATAAAATTCATGTAAATGTTAATGGCATATTTGCATTATGGAGGAATTATAATTTTAAATTTTGTTATTAATTTTAAATAAATAATTGAAATTAAATTTAGCTCTTGATTATAATATTTATGATATTAAAACTTGACACTCTAATAACTAATATAATGTATAATATATAATACATATCATATAATTCTAACAACTAAATAACATAGTAATTTCTTATTCGGTAATAAAACAATTAATTCGTTGAATTAATTTTAAATATTTCATATTCAATTTACCTAGATTAAAAATTATTCATATTTACTTTGAATAATTAGAATAATTAATAGTAATTATTGAAAATTAGTACTATTAATTAATTAATTTATTTAATTTCATAAATTTCTACTTGGCAATGTAAATTTATCATTAAAATATTGATTCGTGATTTAATTATCTACAAGCTAGTAATGTCTTACGAAATCAGTAAATATAATAAACTGATTATTTATTCTAAAGTTGTATTTCTCTTTATCGAATATTCTGATAAATTTCGTCAAAATATGACAAAACTCTTTAGGTATATATTTAGCAATGATTAATTTTCAATTAGTTAATAAGTTACTATTTGTTCATTTCAATATGACATTTAAAAGAAACGTATTCACCAAGTCTTGAAGATAATAATTTATTTCAAAATATTTTTACATTTTCAAAGATTTTTATATATATTTTTATAAATATTTTATAAACTTTTGTAAATTATCATAAGTAGTAAATAGTCTGTTGCATCCACTGTTATTTTTGTTTATTATATATATATTAATTCATTCGATATCTTATACATAATTTATTTTTGTTATATTTATTATTATCATTAATATTAATACCGTATCGTTATTGGAAATAATATATAACATAATACCATTGTTCCGATTTTCAATCATAAATAGTGATAAATAGTAAAATTTTATTATTTTATTTTTACAAACTTATAGTAAAAAGATTTAATCTTCTTAGTAATTAATTCATGAAAAAAGAAAAGAAATTAAAATATTCATTATTTGTATAGTATATGTTCTTTTTCAATTTATTTTAGTCCAGTATTTTTTAATTAAATATTTAACGATATCTCTTAATAAAACTTTATTTGAAAATTTAAAAATTCTGCAGACACTCAATATTTCACAGAGGCTACCATATTTATATGCAGATTTTCTCTTTTATCTTGAACTTCTTAATATCTTCATTATCTTAATTGCTGCAAAAAGTTGTCTCGAAATGTAGTTATTTCTTATTGGACAACGAATATAAATTAAAGTCCGATATTTAGCATGTAAAGTACAATATCTAAATTAAAGTTTAAATGTAGTATTTAAAATGCAGGATCAATAGGGAATCAATAAGGATCATTTAGGAAAATAAAAAATATACAAAAATTCGCAATTGATGACTTTATTTCTTAACTTTTGTCAATGTACATAATTATAGCTCTACTTTAGTTTCAGAGACGTTTGCAGAAGTAAATTTACAAATAAGCAAATATATTTTTAAGTCTAGATTTAGGTCTAAGTTACTTTGACACTAGACGAAATGGCCAAAATATTTGCAGCTGCATAATATTCTGATAAAATTTTGATATAAGTTGCAACTATTATTGTATTTATTACCAGATTAAAATTTTCTTAAGTAATAAATACCTAATAATTAGGTATTAATAAATATAACACTTAAGTAATAAATCTAACTCAAACGTAACCAAAAGTCAAAAAATGACGATCTTAAAAATATTACATAATATTAAAATATATTTTTTGTGTATATCTTAAAGACTAAGATCAAGTGATGATATCTATAAATTAAAATTACTCATACCATTGACTTTGAAAATATGTTTCATGGACATTAAAATCAACGAGGTATATCTTATTCTCAGCAATTAATAATAATAATAATAATAATCATAATAATAATAATAATAATAACAATCATAAAGAAGACACATAACTGAAAAGCACCTGGAATTGATAATGTACACACTTTCTCATATAAAACACAGCTAACAAAATATATAAACCAAATCATACATGATCCAAAAACTTGTCTCGACGTCCTAACGGATAGAAAGACATACATGTGGGATTGGAATAAGTACGGCCCTGGAAGAATGATAAGTGTGTTTGGGCTTAGAACGAAAGAGACCGCGTGCAAGAGGATCGATTGCAATGAATGTTTATGTTAGAGTAAAAGTTTATGAATGCGCCTGACTGTTTGGAATACGTGACCGACCGATTGAGAAGAGAGAACGTGGGTATGGATGAGGACAGCGTGAATGCTTAAATAAGGGTGCAAGGGCGCGGGCAGGAGCATTCCTTAACGGTCCCAAAGATAGTGTCTAAAAAGTAAGAGTCGAGCGTACCCGTAGCGGGTCTCTAGTTTCGTAGCCAATAAGTATAAGTTTATTGTATTTTAAGAAGTAGTAAAACAACATTACTTTAGCCAATCCACCCACACTGATCCTACATACATAAAACCAAAAATCGAATAAACATAAAACCCCGCAAATTATGGCTCAATAACATGTCTACCTACATTATATAAAATCATGACATCGATAATTGCAAACGAGATACAAAACCTCGTGACACAACACTTAGAATCTTAACAGAAGAACAAAAAGGATACAGGAAATATAGCCAAGGTTGCAAAGAACAGTTAATAATAGACAGTGTCATCCTCAAACAGGCCAAAGAAAAGCAAAGAAACTTAGAAGTCTGTTATATAGAAGGCATTTAACTCAATACCTCACACATGGCTATTAAAAACGCTAGAAATATACAAAATTAACCCAATCATTCGCGAATTACTTGGATACCTAACAACAAAATGGTGAACTAAAATACACCTACAAACTAACAAAATAAACATAAAAACAAACGTCATCAAAATAAACAGAGGTATATTCCAAGTGGACTCACTCAATGAACTATGATTCTGTGTATGCATGAACTAACTATCACAAATATTCAAAGATACAAGATACGGCTTCAATATAAGACAATAAACATCAACCCTACATACAATAACCCACCTACTATACATGGACGACATCAAAATGCAAATGAAAACATTTCTCAGAACCATCGAAAAAGTATTCAAAGGTACTTGTATGGAGTTTAGATTACAGAAATACAAAATACGCAGAAAGAGGAAAATGGGCTGAAACAGAAAACACAGAAACACTGAACAATAAAATAATTGAAAACGCGATACAACAGAGATCTACAAATACCTAGAATTCATTCGAAACGCAAAAATAGACCATAAAATAGCTAAAACATAACTCAAAACAATATGAAACACGACTGAAGCAAATACTAACACCAAAACTCAACAGTAAAGATACTGTAGAGATAAGGTGGTGTTAAATAATATAATTACTATTCATTAGCCATAAAATATAATATACAATGTGCGGTGACGGTAAAGACTACGAATATAGATATCTATCAACTAAACTTTTACGACTACAACTAATAACACGATTATAACTAACAACACAATTACAACTAACAACACGAATACAACTAACAACACAATTCTTCACAACTCTCTCTCTCTAATAATTCTACTG